TATATATAATATAATATACACACACACACAAAACACACACACACAATAAGATCACAGTAAACAGGTGATTTCAAAATATGCAAAACAACCACTCTGAAAGAATAGAGAAATTCCAAGCGCTTTCGTGACTACTCACATTATCAAGGAACTATAGTTCCTTGATAATGTGAGTAGTCACGAAAGCGCTTGGAATTTCTCTATTCTTTCAGAGTGGTTGTTTTGCATATATATATATATATATATATATATATATATATATATATATATATATATATATATATATATATATATATATATATATATATTATATATATATATATATATATATATATATATATATATATATATATATATATATATATATATATATATATACGTATATATATCTTTCGTTCAACACAGAAAAATGTATATATATACATTTTCTTTTCTTTTCAACAAGTCAGCCATCTCCCACCCAGGCAGGGTGACCTGAAAAAGAAACACTAAGTATAGTTACTATTTACTTATTATCTTATCTCGTTTTAATTAGTACTATGTATTAGGATTAGTCTCCCCAAAATGTCTCGGCATGATAGTGGCTATCTTTGTACTTAGCAAATCAAAATTGTAATTACACACTAGCCTTTACAAAGAAATAAACTTCATCTTATCATTCACACTATGACTGTCTTGCCAGAGGCATGCAGATACGAGTTTAGATCTCTCTCCAAACAGCAAATATTCCAAAACCCCTTATTTGTATTTTTTAACGGTAGTACAGCCTCTCCTCACTGAATGACGGAGTTCCGTTCCTAAGACAACATCGGTATCGAATTCGTCGCTAAGTAAGGAGTACACTATAATCGTAGTGGGTTTGTGTCAACCATCTTTGATTATTGTTTTAATGTCACCTTTGCATCATTTATAACATTTTTAGTATATTTTTAAATGTTGATAGTGTACTGTATATTGTAATAAACAGGCCAGAGGAAATCAGCTCGAATATACATGTACGTTACTTAGGTATGCATACTGGTCAGAGAGCCCATCGTAAATCCAGGTCGTCGGTAAACGAGTATGTCACTAAGTGAGGAGAGGCTGTATTGGCATGCCTCTTGCAAGACAGTGATGGAGTGTATTAATATTAGTAGAATTACCGACAATATGTTAAGAAAAAGAGCACAAGTACAACTAATGTGACGTTTTATGGTGGCAACGTTTTACTGTCCAGGAGCTTTGTCAAGCTTGCCAAAGCTCCTGGAGAGCGAAATGTTGCTACAATATAATGTCACATTAGTTGCACTTGTCCTTTTACTTAACAGTGATGGAGAGATGAGGAAAGTGTTAAAAAAATTATATATTAATATATTTATTAAAATTTGTTTTTAATGCACCAGCCATCTCCCACCAAGGTAGGGTGACCCGAAAAAGAAGAAACAAAAGCTTTTGTTCATTTTACATTTAGTAATTTCCAGAGCATTTTAGTCGCCTCTTACAACATGCATGGTTTACACAGGAAGGATTCTATACTTTCCCATAGAGACAAATGGGTTTTGGGACTTGACAAACTGTTGGAGTGTGAGCAGGATAATATCTTGTGACGGGATTCAGGAAAACAAGTTAAGCGGACTCGAGTCCTGGAGATGAAACGTATAGTGCCTGCACTCTAAAGGAGGGGTTTGGGATATTTGCTGTTTAGAGGGACATTTAAACTGTCATATCCGCACTCCTCTGGCAAGACAGTGATAGTGTGAATGATGGTTAAAACATTTCTTTTTTGGGTTACCCTGCCTCAGTGAGACGGATAGCGTGTTGAAATAAAAAATATGTACACATTTTTTTTTTTTTAACAAGTCGGCCGTCTCCCACCGAGGCAGGGTGACCCAAAAAGAAAGAAAATCCCCAAAAAGAAAATACTTTCATCATCATTCAACACTTTCACCTCACTCACACATAATCACTGTTTTTGCAGAGGTGCTCAGAATACAACAGTTTAGAAGCATATATGTATAAAGATGCACAACATATCCTTCCAAACTGCTAATATCCCAAACCCCTCCTTTAGAGTGCAGGCATTGTACTTCCCATTTCCAGGACTCAAGTCCGGCTATAAAAATAACCGGTTTCCCTGAATATTACCCTGCTCACACTCCAATAGATCGTCAGGTCCCAAATACCATTCGTCTCCATTCACCTGTCGAGCACACTCATGCATAAATGCTGCAAGTCCAAGCCCCTCGCCCACAAAACCTCCCTTACCCCTTCCTTCCAACCTTTTTGAGGACGACCCCTACCCCGCCTTCCTTCCCCTACAGATTTATACGCTCTCCATGTCATTCTACTTTGATCCATTCTCTCTAAATGACCAAACCACCTCAACAACCCCTCTTCAGCCCTCTGACTAATACTTTTATTAACTCCACACCTCCAAATTTCCACACTCCATTTATATACTGTATTACTATATTCAAAATTTGTACCCGCTAGTACAGTATGAAGAGGAATTCACAAACACAACTTATGGTGATTCAGATTTTATTCTAAGTGATTCATACATAATTAGCACTATTTAATGCACCTTTGTACTGACAAGTCAAGTGCTAGTAGTTTCTCCTGTCGAGTTGATTAAAAAATACAGCTTATAACTGTCTAAATTTTAGGGTTGAGATCCATTAAGAGGCTCTTTAGGATTTCAATATCTATCAATAAAATTAAAATTTATTATAAGCACTGTCATAATAGTTTATAAAAAATTACCATTAATTATTCACTTAACTCAAGAAGCATCGATCCACATTTTAATGAATCTTCACCCCAACAATGGAGTAAAATTTAAGTATGAGCCATAATTACCTTTATCAATCCTTTTAATGCCCCGTATAACCTTAATCCAAAGAAAATACTCATAACATCAGAATCACCAAGAAAAGACAAAATCACAATGATTCACAATTAACGAAGATGCACTGCACTTTGTATAGAGAGAGAGAGTGGGAGAAAGAATGTGGGGAGAGAATAATATAATCAAATTAACCACTAAATCTGAAAGGAAGAATGGAAAAATGAAACAGAATGAGAAAGAATGAAACTAATGCAGCACTGCACTGTGCTACTAGAGAATGAGAGAGAGAATGGATGGAAAGCAAATGGGAATAATAATCAAATTAAGCATTAAACCTGAAAGAGGGAGAGAAAAGAGAATGGAAGAGACTGGGACAGAGAGAGAGAGAGAGAGAGAGAGAGAGAATGAGAAGCAGTACTGTGTGACTTTTGGGTTTAGCACTTAACTTGATTAGTATATTATTAAGAGAGAGAATGATGGGGAGAGAATGTGGGCCATCAGAGGGGAGATCAGCAATGAAAAACTTCTGGCCAATATATTTCTAAAAGAATGAAATTCTGATAATTTGGAAGAAAACTGAGCTTACTGCCAGCTTCTAAGCACATAAGACTGCTTTAATTTGCAATTAGCAATATTATGCATAACTAACAGGCAATACAGATGTAAACACGTACTTGCATTACTCAAGGTGTTAAAATCTGAGACTTATACTTATCTGCTAACTTGCACAGGCATGGCTGCAAAGGAGCACTAATAAAAGTTCCAAGTCCAGAATATTTCAACTGATGACTCGCCAAAAATAAATTTACTAAACTTACCAAATCGTGTGGGGTCAACAAACAGCATAAAAAATAAGACTTGCAACTTCAAAACTGCAGGATACAAATATGTAAAACCAATTTTAAATTGTCCCAAAAGAATGCTCCAAACTGTATTTGAGGACTTAGCAAACAACTGAAACAGGTACATTCTTTCTTAATTTATTTTTAAAATAAATTTAATATACATTTTAGCCTTTTCCCAAAAATACATAAGAAAGAAAATACTAAACCTAAAAATATAATTTAGGATGATCTCCTAACTACTGTAGTTGGTGCCTAACTACACTCCAAAGTAATCATTTGTCTTTCATCAGTGATCCACTATTTCTGCCATGACAAGTAAGAAATTAATCAAAGAGAATTAGAAAAGCCTTTGGAAGATATTACTCACCAATAAAACATTTGAAGAATAACATTCTAATAATAAACTAGCAAAATGAGGCATTGTTTATGTTACTTTAACAACCTTACATGGAACTGTTTTTACACAATTTCTCCAATGGTGATTATTATTGATAGAAGGTCATATAACACTGCTGCTGGCACATGATTAATACAAAACTCAACATGTTACTAAAAGTCATGGCTTTATTTATAATCAACTGAGCCATCAATACAAAAGATTTCAGGCAATGTTATTTTATGTCACACTAGCATAACGGAAGGAAGAAATTGGACTGAATTCCATACTGAGTGAACTTTATCTGAAAGCCAGTCATTAGCTTATTTTTTTGCCCTATAATACATCTTCAATAAGAAAAACAAGGTGATCTTTTTCCTCATCTCTTCATTGTTTGGTTTCTTTAACATAAAACTTTAAATCCATTTCAATACTAAACTGTCATGTTACTGAGTCATGATTTCAAGTGACTAAGTGACTCCTCATTCTTGCATTACAAAATTTGCTTAAAATAAATTAGCAGACAACAGAGTTGAATGTCTAATCAAACCTAAAAATGTAATTTCTTGGCAACCAAAAACTTGCAGTGACGAGACCTATGAATGTACTAATTCACTTCCCTACACAAGCCCAATGTCATCCTGAACAGACCTCCACAGGTCTGGTTTTAAAATCCTTAAATTTGAATAAGGCTGGAATTCTTGTTTTTTCATGACCTTACACATACAGAAAATATATTTACTATATACATACTGGGCACACTGCTTATCTTTAATAATTTTTTTGCTTGCTAAATCATTTTAAAATACTTATTTGCATTTCATATCATGTAAACTACTTCAGACATTGTGGTAGGAGTTACATGGGCAGTTGTTCTTGTAAACCATCATCTAGAGCCTGCTATACTAGCCTTGTCACACACTTATGTATACAAAGAACCAGATTAGGCTTATATTTAAAGATGATACCTTATGAATTTATGTATAATAACCTTATGTCTAAGACTCACACTTTCTGATCAGGTTAAGCTCTAAGCCAAACTGGTTGTCATAACACCGTAGGCTTAAACTTACCGATCCGGTCACATAACTTGAAGTTGATGTTATGTCCATGTTTCAGTGCTACCAATTTTTTTGTCTTAACATCTTGAGCCATTTCCAAGTTATCATCTAAGCTTCAAAAATACACCTTAATCGAACACACAATATCTTAGATCCAAAGATACCAATCTCGTCGTACAGTTGAAGCCGTGATTAAGTACTAACTAGGGCTCATACTCGCCGATCTTTTAGAAACACTTGGCATTCCTTTCTGGCTCAGCTTTTTGTTAATGGACTTGTGTTTTCCTTCCCTCTTTTTCCGGCCTCCTCTTGAGAACCTTCAACTGAAAGATAAAGCAGGGAGGGAGCTGGTCAACTTTCATACTGTTTTACTGAGTTGGCCCTACTACAACTGACCACTTTTCCACTAATTAAACCCTAATCCCCAAACATTCATTGATGCCAATAAAAAAAATCTCCAATGAATACTCCAGTACAAAGTCAATTGTCACACTTCAAAATTTTACACTTTTAGGCTGGCTATGCAAAAAGAGCCATGAAAATAGTTTACATGTAATTGGCAAATGCTTATCAGGCTTTGTCTTGGAGGGTACAGGAGTCAACTGTTTGTTGTTGCAGAAAGTACAATGAACCTCAAATGACAGCATTACATACAAAAATATTTTCACCTTTGCTGCCTTGTACATGCAATGAATAATCACCGAACACATGCAAAATATTTATATTTGCTTAAAGCCTATGAGCTAGGACCACATCATATTTCAAATGGGAAGCGTGAGGAGTCACAATACTATAATTCACCTTTATTAACTCTACTTTGACCAAGTTTGAATTCATAAGAGTGATTTCGATCACTACAATTCTCTGAGGAAAATATGTACAATGCTATTTACATAAAAGTTTATTAAATCATTCAATGATTAGTTATTAGCATGGCTAATTAAAGATAACAATCTCATATTATTCGTTTAATTCAGAATATCGAGATTTATTTTTTTTAGTAATAATCTATACAAAAGTGCCACAACAAATACTGTACATTTATCAAATTGTTTTGTACTTGAATCAAGACCTTATATGACCATCTGTATTTTTACCCCGTTTAGACTCAGATCCATTGCAAGATATTTGTGCTCAAATATACACTCTTTTGAATTTAATGGTACAGGGCTTTAAAATATCTCTTCATGTGATGTACTGTATTCCATTAGGAATCTTACAAGTCTTGAAGCTTTTTTCCATAACATTTGGACAGTCCATTCATATTGGTAAGGAACAAATATTTACATTACAATATGAAGTAGCCAAGTGTAAAAGGCTTCTTAAAAATATCTGGTAGGTGGATTACAATGGACCGACTATATGCCGTAAAAACCTGAAGAGATGCCACAGACGTACCATGATGCTTCCCATTATTTAAGCCTACTTACTATGATGGGTTGGGTCACGAACCAATGAGATCTTACTCTCCTCTGTGATGCCAGACTTATGACAAGCTTCATCAAATTCGGCCACTTTCTCAGCAAACATTGTGTCCCATTCTTGACTTTCAGGAACCACAAACAGCAACTGTCAATGATATTAACGTTAATTTCAACTTGTCAGAATGCAAGTTTTGGGGTGAAGTACAAGATACTTTTCTGCCTTGAGTTACCAGCTTCAATTATGCATTAAATGATCTGTTTTAAAGTAGCTATCCTGATGAAAATTAATGGAAAATTCGAAGAAAATGCATAGAGGAAAGATCAGCAAGATTTAGCCAGTAATATAACAGGATAAGAAATATATATTATATACATGAAAAGAATGAAAAAGTCCAACTGAAGCATTAAGCATGAAAACTAAAAAAAAAAAAAATTAAAGATGGAAACTTTGCAGAATTATCAACCTAAAAGACTTATTTATTAACAAATTGTCACAAAATTACCAGCCATGGCTGCCAAACTACAGTAATGCCTGTTATATTTGTTGGGAAGTACCAAACCCTTGGGAAAATGAGAGGCAATCAGGTTTGATCTGAAGGGAGGGAGGATATAGCATCAAGCTAATAACATTAATTTCATCCTTGATCCAGATTAACTGTGTCCTTGAAACACAGATTGCTGGTAAATGGTAGAGATTGGTTCAATGTTCAGCACTTGAAAAAGGAGTACATACATGAAGCTCCTATAAATGTCTCAATATTAAAAGAGAAGTGCTAAACTCACAGGGGTCATACAACACCTGAGGAACAGGAGGCAAGAAAGGAAAAAGGGTAGCTCCAATCCCTTGGATCAAAAGCCCTTCATCAGCATCAGGGCACCACTTCTTTGAAGAAAAGTCTCTATAGGCAACCTAAGGTGGCAGTTTGACATAAGATAGCTGTCCACATTAACAGTTCACCGACTGTTTATATTTGTAACTGGGGCATTTTGGCATACCATAACATTAGTCTCTAATAAACATACTATTATACGTACATGACAAAACTGAATTTGTACTTCAAATACAGACTTTTACTAAGTCTCGCAGAAATATTTCAGTTGCAGCTGTGGCCCTGAAGAAAAGGTCAAAGACGAGAAATTTTTTTTTTTATAATTTCTAGATGACCCCCCACATGGGATTCAAATTGCCTTCTACTGCTACTTGCAGACTGTTGAACTTTAAAGTGATTTCTTTAAAATTGCCCTAACCCAGATGCAGCACATACATTTATTTTATGCAAATTCCATTCTTTACTTTAAATTTTATTTCACAAACTTCAATAACAGCAACAAGACAAATTTCATGTTTCCAGATGCCTATATAAATATGTAAGAAATGGATAATTAAGAATTCCCAATGTTCCAATTTACAACTCAGATTAAAATGCACTTTGATCTATACATACACAAATAAAACAAAAACAAGCACTTTTTGGCTAATTATAATTAAAGGGGGATACAATGACAAGACTGCCTAACATGTACATATATCCATTACTTGTCTCTCAAAGTAGGAGCATCATAATGTCTTGAGGGCTAACACAATGGTCATATAAAAGTACAGAACATCTCCCTATACTATATATGCAGCATATCAATTTCATTTCTGTAATTCTTCAAAATATGAGAAGGGAAACTTGGATGCTGACCATGAACAATGTTATCAAAACTTGTATGTACAGTGTGCATATGATGCCACACTTCACTGATATCACTATACTATCAGTCAGCTTAAACCTCAAGTCAGTCAGTGATCCACGTCTTCCCCTAAGCACGTTCTATATATCATACTGTATAGTATTTGTGGTATGGAATGCTAGCATTGACATGGTATGTCATCTAGTTTATCATATTATTTGGTAGTAGCCTAAAAAATGGTGGTATTTATTTGAATTTCAGGTGATAATACAATTGTGGAATGCATCCTGAAAACAGTAATGCCTGTTGCTTTTGTGTGCTCTGGGATAGTATAAAAAAAATATGCCTGGTTATCTGGTTTATTATTTTATTGAATAGCAGCAAAAAAAAGTAGCACAGTGAATAATGGGTAACAGTTCAAAAAATTTGCATCCCATATATCATTCTTGTTTATGTAGCCAGTTTCATTGTTATTTTGAGTTATCCTAAATAATATTAGTGTAAGAAAAAGAATGAATCAGTACAAGATGGATTTTTAAATATAATATGACAGATACATAAACAAAATGCAGTGATAGGAATTTTTTTTACCCAGGCTGAACTTATTGCATTAGAATACCATCGACAATAGTTTTCCTTACTAGCTATTCCCTTATGTTCTACATCAAATTTCTTCCTAAGATGGAAAGACAGGCAAACTGCCAATAAATTTGTTATCCACTAAACTTAATGTACCTTAACATAATCAGTTTTCATAAATGATTCTTCAGGGTATTAGCAGAGCATAAAACAATCATGTCATCAAAGCAAAAAAAATTTAATATATGAAGAATGTTGCTGAGTAAACCACACACAGACTGTATGGGTAATACAAATGAATAACCCACGGTCAACAGTACTGGAAATATGTATAATTATTTCTGAGCGACCTAAGACCCTCCTCAGGTGTTGAGAAATTATTTGGGAAGGACCCTGGTAATATGTAAACACATGAGGTGTATCTGAGAAAGAAACACTACAGAGAACCACAGGCCCATGCTGGACAGGTTCTACTTGCATCAAACCTTATTCAAACCTATGTCCGACATGTTTTAAAGCTACCCAAGAAAAGCATCTGTCAGAGTGATCATACATCTGCCACTCTACTGTCAAACAACTATTGACCACATTGATCATATCTAGCTAAAAGTAGGAAATACTTGTTTGCTTAACCCTTTCAGGGTCCGTCCCGTAGATCTACGGCTTTACGTTCAGGGTCCAAACCGTAGATCTACGCCATGAGCTCAGCTCACTCTGATAAACTGTGAGTGGTACATTTGGGCCTAGATATGAGAGAATACATCTATGTGGTATGTGTGCACCACATAAAACAGATCCTGCAGCACACTGTGTATAATGAGAGAAAAAAAATGAAATCATGATTTTTCGATTAAAACAGCAACTTTGCAGTGTTTTTTCGTATGTTTTTTATAGTTGTATTTGCGATTTCTTGGTCTCATTTGATAGAATGGAAGACATATTACAGAAATAGAGATGATTTTGATTGGTTTTAGCAATGGAAATGGATTGAAACTGAGCTCAAAGTAGCAGAAATGTTAAATTTTTGCCGATATTCAAGAGTAAACAAACGACCTCACACGTCTAATACACGTCAGCTGGTGGGTCTAATATACATTCACAAATATGGTGATGATATTTATACAATTATTACAGTATTGCATAACAGTAAATCTTCTATTTTTTGGTGTGAATAAAAATTCATTATGTGAATAAAAAATCAAAATGGAATTTATTTGTAAAGCCTCAAAACATAACTAATGAACAGAGGAAATGTTAGTTTAGTGCCAGGAATGCCTACATTGTTCATTCTGGACCCTATTTTGAAATTGGAATATTTTGAACTTTGTGTTAAATTGGCCAAATTAACAATTTCCGATCACTTTATTTGGAGTTGAAACAGTTGACTTGGCGATTTCTTGTGCTCAATCGATAGAATAGAAGTAATACTAGTGAAATAGCTAAGAATTTGGTTGATTGGAATAATGTAATTGGCCTAAAATGGGAGTCAAAGTCAGCAAAATCGCCGATTCGTAAATATCGCTGACACATCAAAATTCGCAAGAGCAGAATTTCGTCAATTTTCCACCAAATTTCGTACTTTTTGTTTTATTACCTTCACAAAAAGATTCTCTACGATTTCATAAGAAAAAATAATTTTTTTTTTTTGAAAATTCTTGGACACTGGTGCGTGACTCCAGATTTGGGCCTTGGACCCTGAAAGGGTTAAAAGAGCTGCAGCTGCTTGAGCACAATGACAGGTATTTTCCTTGGGTAGCTTTAAAATATGTTGGACAAAGGTCTGAGTGAGGTTTGATCCAAGTCGAACCAGCCTAGCATGAGCCTGCTGTTGGTCTCTGCAGTGGTTCTTTCTAGAGTGCACTTGATTTGGCTGAATATATAAGGGCTCCCTCCAAACTCCTTTCTTAGTGCCAGAGGACGGTCTTGGGTAGACAAACTATTCATGTTTTTTCTGTACCAATGAATGTGGATTATTCAAGTGAAAAAGTCGAGTAAGATTAAGATAAAGCAAAGTAAGCTTTATTTTGTTTTATAATTAGTTACATACCCACCCTACTTGCTCAAATCTTATAGGTTAATTATGCAAGGTATGCAATAACTAACATAGTTATGCAGTATTTTGAAATACTAAGTAACCTGGTACAATATTTATTACTTTTGGATTGATGAAGGATATCAGACTGTATTTGGATTGAATTTTGAACATGTCACTTTTTATAACTGAATCAGATATTCAGTAATTATATCGGTCAAATCTCAAAAAGTTATAAATTACAATGTAGCTTAAAGACATTTTATAATACAAAAATCTGACCACTACAAATCAGGCTGGAATGACAAAACGAGAGAAGACTGCTCTTGATAGCTAATGTAAAAACCAAGTACCTAGTTTATGAGATGTGCTAATGTTATTAATCAATCTCGATATTCATCATAAAGAATACTTCAGATTGTTCCAAAGACCTGGTTCTCAGTTACTTACGTTCATTTTGTTAAAAACCATCCCATTCGTGTGTATAACTAGTCAATTTAACTGGCAAGTACCGAGTGCAAACAAAAGAGAATATGCATTGGATAAAATCAGAGCACACACTATAGTTGGCATCAGAATGCATGTGTGTGTAGGTGTAAGTGCATGTGTATGTGTGTGTATTATGTAAAGTGTTGGATGAATGGTAAGGCTGCCTACAAAGATGAGGGGAAAAAATACACACTCAAGACAAGCCTTTATGTACACACTTCACTCGACAAATTTCATCAAGTCAGTTAAAGGACCCCAAAATGTGCTTATAACATCAAAACTAAATTACAGAAACTTTCAAGCATTTTTCCTTTGTATCTTTTGAACTCTTCTGATTTAGATTTATCCATGCTGTTCATGAAAGATTGCTGATGTGTTTCAAAAGTAACGTGAGTGCCAAGCAAATCGACAGTCTGAGAAATCATTGTGTTAATGCCTCATGACATTCTAAACTATAAAACTTATTGCACCCATCCAGATACAAGCTATAGATGCCTGCACACACACAGCAACAAACGTCAGTATAGGCATCTACATTATTCATTGATTGGGGAAGCAATAAACATTATGTAGGTTATATTGTACCTCAAGAGTATTAACACAAAGATTCAAGAACATGGATATGAATACACAAACACACACACGCTTATGAACACATAACAATAATGTATATGTCATCTATCATGACAAAGATGATTACGAGAACAGCTTGTAACAATGTCAAGTTATCGAAGAGTAACACCAAAACCAAAGAAAATGCTTAGAAGTCGCTGTAATACAGTTTCAACATCACAGAATAAGACCAAATGGCATATGACACCTCTCCACCTCTTACTAAACCACTAAACCTTTTATCATTGGCTTAAACATCTTCAGTCTCCAACCCCTTACCTTTGATTCTTCATTCTCTCCTCTTGCAATGGCTTACTTAATTTCACATTTAAGAGTGTGAGCAATATTTGTGTGTGTGTGTGTGTGTGTGTGTGTGTGTGTGTGTGTGTGTGTGTGTGTGTGTGTGTGTGTGTGTGTGTGTGTGTGTGTGTGTGTGTGTGTAAGCAGTGTGTGTGTATGTGTGTATGAGCAGTGTGTGTGTGTGTGTGTATGAGCAGTGTGTGTGTGTATGTAGTGTGTGTGTGTGTGTGTGTGTGTGTGTGTGTGTGTGTGTTGTGTGTGTGTGTGTGTGTGTGAGTGTGTGTGCACTGTGTGTGTGCACTGTGTGTGTGCACTGTGTGTGTGTGCACTGTGTATGTGTGCACTGTGTATGTGTGCACTGTGTATGTGTGCACTGTGTATGTGTGCACTGTGTATGTGTGCACTGTGTATGTGTGCACTGTGTATGTGTGCACTGTGTGTGTGTGAGCACTGTGTGCAGTGTGTGTGTGAGCACTGTGTGCAGTGTGTGTGTGTGCAGTGTGTGTGTGTGTAGTGTGTGTGCAGTGTGTGTGTGCAGTGTATGTGTGCAGTGTGTGTGCAGTGTGTGTGTGTGCAGTGTGTGTGTGCAGTGTGTGGTGTGTGCAGTGTGTGTGTGTGCAGTGTGTGTGTGTGCAGTGTGTGTGTGTGCAGTGTGTGTGGTTGTGTGTGTGTGTAGTGTGTGTAGTGTGTGTGGTGTGTGTAGTGTGGTGTAGTGTGTAGTGTGTGTGTGAGTGTGTAGTGTGTGTTAGTGTGTGTAGTGTGTGTAGTGTGTGTGTGGTGTGTGTGTGTGTGTGTGTGTGTGTGTGTGTGTGGTTGTGGTGTGGTGTGGGTGAGTTGTGTGTGTGAGTGTGTGTGTGTGTAGTTGAGTGTGTGTAGTGTGTGAGGTGTGTGTGAGTGTGTGTGTGTGTGTGTGTGTGAGTGTGTGTGAGTGGTTGTGTGAGTGTGTGTGTGTGTGTGTGTGTGTGTGTGTGTGTGTAGTGGTGTGTGTGGTGTGTGTGTTGGTGTGTATGTGTGTGTGTGTGTGATGTGTGAGTGTGTGTGTGATGTGTGGTGTGTGTGTGGATGTGTGTGTGTGAGTGTGTGATGTGTAGTGTGTGTGTGTGTGTGTGTGGTGTGTATGTGTGTGTGTGTGTGTGTGGTGTGTGTGTGTGTGTGTGTGTGTGTAGTGTGTGTGTGTGGTGTGTGGTGTAGTGTTGTTGTGTGTGTTGCAGTGTGTGAGTGTGTAGTGTGTGTGTGTGTGTGTGTGTGTGTGTGTGTGTGAGTGTGTGTGTGCATGTTGTGTGTGTAGTGTGGTGTAGTTGATGTGTGAGTGTGTGTGTGTAGTGTGCAGTGTTGTGTGTGAGTGTGGTGTGTGTGTGTGTGTGTGTGTGTGTGTGTGGTGTGTGTGTGTGTGTGTGTGTGTGTGTGTGTGTTTGCAGTGTGTGTGCAGTGTGTGTGCAGTGGTGTATGTGTCACTGTGTGTGGTGCATGTGTGCAGTGTGTGTTCATGTGTGTGTGTGTAGCAGTGTATGTGTGCATGTTGTGTGGTGTGTGTTGCATGGTGTGGTCAGTGTGGTGTGATGTGCAGTGTGTGTGCACTGTGTGTGTTGCAGTGTATGTGTGACTGTGTGTGTATGCAGTGTAGTGTGCACGTTGTGGTGTGTGTGCAGTGTGTGTGTGTCAGTGTGTGTGTGTGGTTGCAGTGTGTTCTTGTGTGTGCACGTGTGTGCAGTGTGTGGTGCTGTGTGCAGGTGTGTGTGTGTGTGCTGTGTGTGGTGTGAGTGTGTGTGTGTGTGTGTGTGTGTGTTTGTGTGTGGTGTGTGTCGTTGTGTGTGTGTGTGTGTTCATGTTGTGTGCACTGTGTGTGACGTGTTGTGTGCACTGTGTGTGTGCACTGTGTGTGTCATGTTGTGTGCACTATGTGTGTCAGTGTATGTGTGCACTGTTGTGGTGCAGTGTGTGTGTGTGTGTGCACTGTGGTGTAAGTGCATGTGTGGCACTGTGTGTGTGTACTTTGCATGTGTTGCACTGTGTGTAGTTATGTGTGCACTGTGTGTGTTGCAGTGTGTCAGTGTTGTTGCAGTGTGTGTACGTGTGTGTGTGTAGTGTGAGTGGTGTTGTGTGGATGTTGTGCATGTGTGTGTGTACAGTGTATGTGTGCATGTGTGTGTGTACAGTGATGGTGCATGTGTGACAGTGTGTGTGCATGTGTGTGTTCAGTGTGTTATTTTTGTGCATGTGTGTGTGTGTATGTGTGCATGTGTGTAGTGTGTGGCATGTGTGTACAGTGTTATGTGTGCATTGTGTGTGTACAGTGTATGTGTGCACTGTGTGCAAGTGTGCATGTGTGTGCATTACATTGTGTGTACAGTGTGTGCACTGTGTGCTACATTTTGTGTGTGTACAGTGTTGTGTGCACTGTGTGTGCGATACAGTGTTGTTGCACTGGTGTGCATATGTGTGCACTGTGTGTGCATCAGTGTGCACTGTGTGATCAGTGTGTGTACAGTGTATGTGTGCACTTTGTGTACAGTGTAGGGTGGCACTGTGTGTGTATGTGCATGTGTGCACTGTGTGGTACAGTGCATGTGTGTTGTGTACGGTGTGTCATGTGTTGTGTGCACTGTTGTGTGTACAGTGATGTGTGCACTGTGTGTGTACAGTGGCACTGTGTTTTGGCACTGTGTGTGTACAGTGTATGTGTGCACTGTGTGTACATGATGTGTGCACTGTGTGTGTGTCATTTGTTGTGTGCACTTTACAGTGTGTGCACTGTGTGTGTAGTGTATGTGTGCAGTGTTGTAGCACTGTGGTGTGTGTGCAGTGTATGTGTGCATGTGTGTACAGTGTATGTGTGCACTGTGGTGTACATGTGTGCACTGTGTGTGTACAGTGTATGTGTGCACGTGTGTTACAGTGATGTGTCATGTGTGAGTGTGGTATGTCACGTGTGTATGAGTGTGCATGTGTGTGTACAGTGTGTCATGTGTGTGTGTAGTGTAGTGTGCTTGTGTACGTGTATGTGTGCTGTGTGTAGTGTGTTGCAGTGTGTAGTGTGATGGTGTGTAGTGTGGTAGGGGTTGGAGTGTGTGTAGTGTGTGGATGTGTGTGTGTGTAGTGACTGTGTGTGTGTGTGTGTGTGTTAGTGTGTAGTGGTGTGTGTGTGTAGTGCCTGTGTGTAGTGTGTGCATGTGTGTGTGTGTGTAGTGTGTGTGTGACTGTGTGTGTAGTGTATTGTGTGTGGTGTAGTGTAGTGTGTATGTGTGTAGTGTGTGTGGTGTTGTAAGATGTGTAGTGTGTGTGTGAGTGTTGTGTAGTGTGTAGTGTGTGTGTGTGTGTTAGTGTGATGTGTGTAAGTGTGTGTGCTGTGTGTGTGATGTGTGTTGTGTGTTTGTGTATGTGTGTAGTGTGATTGTGTGTGTAGTGTGTGTGTGTGTAGTGTGTGTGTGTGTGTGTGAGTGTGTGTATGTAGTGTGTGTTGTTAGTGTGGTGTAGTGTGTGAGTGGTGTGTGTGTGTGTGTGTGTGTGTGAGTGTGTGTGGTGGTGTTGTGTGTGGTGTGTGTGGTGTGTGTACTGTGTAGGCACTGTGTGTCTGTGTGGGCACTGTGTGTCTGTGTGGGCACTGTGTCTGTGTGGGCACTGTGTGTCTGTGTGGGCACTGTGTGTCTGTGTGGGCACTGTGTGTCTGTGTGGGCACTGTGTATGTGTGTGGGCACTGTGTGTCTGTGTGGGCACTGTGTGTCTGCGTAGGCACTGTGTGTCTGTGTGGGCACTGTGTGTCTGTGTGGGCACTGTGTCTGTGTGGGCACTGTGTGTCTGTGTAGGCACTGTGTGTCTGTGTGGGCACAGTGTGGGCACTGTGTCTGTGTGGGCACTGTGTGTCTGTGTGGGCACTGTGTGTCTGTGTGGGCACTGTGTCTGTGTGGGCACTGTGTGTCTGTGTAGGCACTGTGTGTCTGTGTGGGCACAGTGTGGGCACTGTGTGTCTGTGTGGGCACTGTGTGTCTGTGTGGGCACTGTGTGTCTGTGTGGGCACAGTGTGGGCACTGTGTGTCTGTGTGGGCACAGTGTAGGCACTGTGTGTCTGTGTGGGCACAGTGTGGGCACTGTGTGTCTGTGTGGGCACTGTGTGTCTGTGTGGGCACTGTGTGTCTGTGTGGGCACAGTGTGGGCACTGTGTGTCTGTGTGGGCACAGTGTGGGCACTGTGTGGGCACAGTGTGGGCACTGTGTGGGTTTACAATATACTGTAGTTGTATTATGTATGAACATGCCAGCGTAAATTATTATAATAAAATATGAACACCTTCATTTCACAAAAATACAATGAGCACAAAAAATGAGGCAAGTGCACTTTTCTCAATAACAAAATTATTTACAAACCTTAAACCTGTTGTATACCATGTCTGCTTTCAGCCGAACCTCGTCATCATACTTGTATCTACGACACTATAAGGAAAATATTATATTAACAGATTATTACAAAGATGCCAAATACATTAGTTAAGTAATCTCAGAATATTTCTACAAACTTTAATTTACAATAAAATTTCACACAAGAGTATATATTGTACAGAGATATTTCTACTTTTGCTCTGAATTTACCATGGAAAGGTAACCTAATGAAGAAATCATATTACAAAAGACTTCTCTTTAGCATCTTCTGCAAGAGAGAATGCAGACATCCACTGCTAAAATGTTGCCCCACTAAACTGAAATACAGCATCCCCACCCCCAAACATTGTAATTAAGAAACTCCAAAACTCATCCACCCAGTTTATTTCCATAATTCCCTTCATATATATTAACTTATAGGTAGTAGGTTGGTAGACAGCAACCGCCCAGGGAGGTACTACTGCCCTGCCAAGTGAGCGTAAAACGAAAGCCTGTAATTGTTTTACATGACGGTAGGATTGCTGGTGTCCTTTTTTCTGTCTCATTAACATGCAAGATTTCAGGTACGTCTTGCTACTTCTATTTACACTTAGGTCACACTACACATACATGTAGAAGCATATATATACACACCCCTCTGGGTTTTCTTCTATTTTCTTTCTAGTTCTTATTCTTGTTTATTTCCTCTTATCTCCACGGGGAAGTGGAACAGAATTCTTCCTCCGTAAGCCATGCGTGTTGTAAGAGGCGACTAAAATGCCGGGAGCAAGGGGCTAGTAACTTCTTCTCCTGTATATATTACTAAATGTAAAAGGAGAAACTTTCGTTTTTCCTTTGGGGCCACCCTGCCTCGGTGGGATACGGCCGGTGTGTTGAAAGAAAGATATATTAACATGCTCATATTTCAACAGGACTTCACATCTTGCACTCGTGTATGTCTGCTAGCTGGCAGGAGAGAGAAATGCACAGTTTCATGGAACCTTTGCAAATAATGTTTTACCCATGTAAAGGGTTTATCAAGTCACAAGTAGATATTCCTGGTAAGGGAGGGTGAGGAAAATACATATAAAGATGTAGCAGTGAGGTTAAGAACAAGTGGGATGCAAATCAGGTCACATTTATACCAAAACTTCTGATAAGAGGTTCAGAAAGAATGTAGAACCCTTGTTCTGGTTGAAGTTAGTGGAGACAATAGTGAGCGGAGATTTAAGGATTCTTCCCTTCATCTCACTGCTACTCAATATATATTTAGTTTACCATCCCTTACCAGGTTTATCTGTTTATGAGTTGATAAAAGCCCAATGCATGAGTGAAACATTATAAATAAAGACTGCAGATAACTACACAAGTGTCTCCTCATTGTGTCAGTAGCTCACACCATTATATAGTTAGATTTACAAACACTTTACCTCAAAAACCATAATATACCCTCTCCATTTTTTTTTTCAGCATCCCAATGCAGTACACTACTCTACATCTGTATAGTTCTACGCCTAATTTTTTTTTTCATGCCCACATCACACCAGTGTTTCACATCCATACTAATATTAGAACTGGCAGAATCATTCAACAAAACTTCTAGCTACACTAATGTTTTTCATTCATCATCAAGGATTTCATTCATCAACCACTTACCTAACTTCAACTAAATCTACCTTTATCTTCACAGTCATCATTCACATTTTCCAGGAATTTTAACTTTCTTTGATTTAACACTCTGGCTGTTTCCCACCAAGGTTTTCTTTGTCGGGTGACCCGATAAAGAAAACACTTTCACTGTCACTATTTAATCAGTTCTGTCACTTATTTAATCAGTTCAGATGCCCCTCCAAACTGCAATATCACCACCCCACCTTCAGAGAGCAGGCACTGTACTTCCACTCAATGACTGCACACATTAAACTTCCATTAATTTACTGTTATGTACATTCCTTGGCCATTAATTTACTGTTATTTACAGTCCTTGGCAAATGAAGCAATAAATATTTTACTTGTTTCTCTTTAATTCTCTATAAAAAGTTTGTCTGCAAATATCTTAAAATTTTTGCACTCTCCTTCACCACCACCTACTTACACTTATGTGAATATGACACATACTTGCTGGAATATTTTACCATTGATATTCATTTTACTTCCACTTGTTTGCACTCTGACTGTTCCAACCATTTAAAAACTATTTGATTCCCATTAAAATTTCACATCAGTCTTCACACTTATCTTCGAACAAAATTATATCACATCTCATTCAAAATATATCTTTCATGCTAAGTTTGTGTCTACTTCTACATTGTAACTATTACATCAATATATGAGTTAGAACACAATGACTGTGGGCCTCATTCTTGTTTTCCTATGCTAATTATTGTTATTATTCCAAAGAGTGTACTGTCCCTTTTTCAAAAACTCAGCAAATTTTAAACATCTGACAAACTAGTAATTATAAAGAATTCTGTTCATCCAGTATACAGGTTCTCCTCAACTTATGATGGTTCAACTGATGATATTTCAAATTTACAACAGTGGAAAAACAATTACTTTGGAGATGAAATTTAAAACAATTACCAAGCATGAAGGTGGCAAGTCTGTAATTTGTATTTATTTAATTACTGTTCAGTACTGGTATTTAGTTACAGTTATTTGTTTATTTACTTATTCAGGGAGTAGATGCATCGGCAGATGGGTTTATGAAGGATGAGGTAAACCATAGAATTGATGAAGGGAAATAAGGTGGGTGGTGCATTGAAGTATCTGTGGAGACAAAGAACATTATCTATAGAGGTAAAAAGAGGAATGTATGAGAGTATAGTGGCACCAACACCCTTATATGGGTTTGAAGCTTGGTTTGTGAATGCTGCAGCAAGGAGGCAACTGGGGGTAGAGGAGATGTCTTGTCTAAGGGCAATGTGTGACCTAAATATTATGAAGAGAATTTGTAGTGTGGAAATTAAGAGGTGTAGAGTTACTAAAAGTATTATTCAGAGGTCTGAGGAGGGGCTGCTGAGATGGTTTGGTCATTTAGAGAGGATGGAGCAAAATAGGATGACATGCAGGGTGTATAAATCTGTAAAGGAGGGAAGGAGGGGTAGGGGTCTTTCTAGAAAAGGATGGAAGGAAGAGGGTAAAAAAAAAGTTTTTGTTTGCAATGGGCTTGGACATACTGCAGGCACGTGCGAGTGTGTTAGAAGACGAATGGTTTTTGGGACTTGACGAGCTGTTGGAGTGTGAGAAGTGCTGGACTCGAGTCCTGGAGGTGGGAAGTACAATGCTTGCACTGTAAAGGAGGGGTTTGGGATATTTGCTGTTTAGAGTAATATCTAAACTGCTGTACCTGCATGTCTCTGCAAAGACAGTGATAGTATGAATTATTATAAAAGTTTTTCTTTTTTTCTTTGGTCACCCTGCCTCGGTGGGAGACGGCTAGTGTGTTTAAAAAAAAAAGACCCCCATATCCACAGGTCCGGTATCTGCAGTTTCAGTTATCCACGATTAACCATGGCCCAAAACTAACACTTAATTTTGCTTAATAATGGCCTCAAAGTGCAAAAGTAGCGAAGTGCTTCTCATCATTGAAAAAGTGATAGTTCTCCACTTATTGTTCATAATTTATCAATCAAATTTTATAAAAGGTATGTATAAGACTTATATACAGCCTCTCCTTACTTACCGAAGGAGTTCTCTTCCTGAGCCCAGGTCAGTAAATGAATTCATCGCTAAGTGAGGAGCATACTATAATGGTAGTGGGTTTGTGTCAACCATCTCTGATACAGTATTAATGTCACCTTTGAACCATTTATAACATTTCTGGTATATTTTTAAATGTTTATACAGTAGTATACTGTAATAAAGAGAATGGAGGAAATCAGCTCTAATATACTTCCCATCTCCTGGACTTGAGTCCTGGAGATGGGAAGTACAGTGCCTGCACTCTGAAGGAGGGGTGTTAATGTTGCAGTTTAAAAACTGTAGTGTAAAGCACCCTTCTGGCAAGACAGTGATGGAGTGAATGATGGTGAAAGTTTTTCTTTTTCAGGCCACCCTGCCTTGGTGGGAATCGGCCAGTGTGATAATAAAAAAAAAAAAAAAAAGGTATGCATACTGGTAAGAGCCCGTTGTAAGTCCGAGTCGTCGGTAAACAAGTATGTCGCTAAGTGTGGAGAGGCTGTATAGGGTTCATTACTATCCGCAGTTTTGGTATCTATGGCAGGTCCTGGGAACGTATCCCCTGCAGATACGGGGATCCTACTGTATTTGACTAGTGGTATTTTCGACTTACAATACGTTCATCGGAACATAACCCAATCGTAAGTCGAGGACCACCTGTACAGTGTTCTCAAGGGCAGTGCTCAAACTGGTGCTTGGCAAGACCTTGATAAGAATATAAGTGAAAATTTTGTCTCGACAATTATATTTAACGTAATCCTTTAAATGTATTTCTAAGACACTATGCAAAATAAAAAGTATTATTTCATTAAATATTGCAATACTTCATTAAAACATACTTACTTTTCTTATGGCATCAACAACATGAGGATTTTTTTTCAGCATCAAACCCGAGATGACTAACTTGGACATTCTCTCTAGATAAAGTTTGGCATCATCTTTACGAGGATTGGTGACAGAGAGAGCCTCACGTATCTTCTGGTCTAAATCCAGCAGTTGAGCCTCCATGTCTAGGGTCCTGGTAAATTAGAACACAATTTTTGGATACCTTATCAAAAGGCCAGAAAACATTTTAATTGCTAAATGCCACCAAATATACAAAAAACTTACATATATTAGTTAAGAAGTGAAGAGCTAATTCACAAATGCCACAAAGAGGTGGAACGAGGTGAGCAATGGCAGTCGACAGAAAGTTAATAAGGTAGAACCAAGAGCTGGAGCTCACCCCTGAAAACTCATTGCAGTAATTACAAAAAACTAAATTCTGTGGTTTGTAACACTGCAGCCACAGCTCTACTTTGTCTGCAATAACATGTTTTCAAAACTTACTTGGCCTTGCATGTCTCAGTGTACTTTTTATTTTCTTCTATAATGGCTGTGTGTGTCTCATCCTTCTCATTTGCTTTAGTGAGTTCCTTAAGTTCCTCAGCATTTAGTGTGCCCGATTCCAAATCTGTTTTTAACTTCAGAAACGTCTGTTTGCTAGCAAGATCACTCTGCAAAAGGAATTTTGATTTGTAAAAAAATGTAAAAACCAATCAATTACTCTTAAAAAAAACATGTACTCTAGGCAGTTATTATACTCAATGAGTAAATTATTAGAAACTGTTCTCATCCTGTCTAAACAAAATAATGTAAATTTTAATACAATCCTCAGGCAATGTTAGAATAAAAATACAGCTTGAAATAATTTTGCTCACAATTCTGAAGTTTAGAATTAATCTTCACTGCCTTTTTATCCTTTAAAAAATTAAAGGAAAATTAAAAAATCTTATCCTAAAAATTGTTAGGTAAAACTAATTTGGTTTAAGATAATTTGTGGTACAGTCACTGATCCACCAGCTTGTAGTAAAAATACATGTAATGGTTTACACATATTCAAACAAATAAGGAAGATATACTTTCCTATCTTAGCCTGTGGTAGGAGAAAGGACACCTGAGACAAAATATTACTTTCAATAAGGAGGGGGGGGGAGGAAATTCATAAGAAAGTCAGGAAAAATTTCTATGTATATCAATTACTCAAAATGTATCCTAAGAAGCACACAAAGAAATAAATTAGCAGCTTGTGCTGTTGCTGCTAATATAAGCCTTCAACAACCATTAATGAAGACACAAATTTCAAGCACGAAACCACCTTGAATATGCAGCAGTGAGAAAACCTAACCTAGTCAAACAAGATAATGTTTGAAAAGGTTCAAAGAAGAGGATCCATAGAGAGGGGTTTGAGATGAGGGATAATGAGCTATGAGGAAAGAATGAGAAGTCTAGTTCTCCTTTCTCCAGAACAACAATAAAGCATATGATCATGACAAAACATTGAGGCACAGACAGAACAGGTTTTTACAGAAGTAATTAAAACTAGAAAACATGGATGAAAACTGCCCACCCTAATGAGTCACAGGGATGTACACAGACATCTTCTGAACATTAAAGGGATGAGGAGGAATGATTTTGACATTAAAATCATACACGGCAACTTTATACAAAGATTCAAAAGTAGATATGAAAAAACTTTTTCAAGTCAGTTGAGAGTTTGGAGGCAGACCAAAAAGCTAGAGTTCACTACACAATATAAATTAAAGTTAATTTTTTTATAAGTGAATGGAAAATGAGCACACTGACAGAATTTCAAATTTTTTTTCTAGAAACACCAATTTCCATACACATAAATAAAAATTTCCTAAGGTGTAAGAATTTTCATATACTGTACTATAATTAAAACACTCTCAAGTGGAAAAAATAATTGCGAAGTATAGACAAAATAATACGGAAGTGAGAAACCAAACTGCACCTGCATTAAATAATATAGAGAGAGGAATAAATGGGATTAGGTCAGGGGTTTCAAATAGAGTTAGAGCTAAAGAAGGAGCAGCAATAATGTTGAAGGATAAGATATGGCAGGAAAAGAGGGACTATAAATGTATTAATTCAAGGATTATGTGGAGTAAAATGAAGGTTGGATGTGAAAAGTGGGTTATAGTAAGCATATATGCACCTGGAGAAGAGAGAAGTGTAGAGGAGAGAGAGAGATTTTGGGAAATGTTGAGTGAATGCATGGGGAGTTTTGAACCAAGTGTGAGAGTACTTGTGGTTGGGGATTTCAATGCTAAAGTGGGTAAAAATGTTGTGGAGGGAGTAGTAGGTAAATTTGGGGTGCCAGGGGTAAATGTAAATGGGGAGCCTTTAATTGAGCTGTGTAGAAAGAGATTTGGTAATAAGTAATACACATTTTATGAAAAAGAGGATAAATAAATATACAAGGTATGATGTAGCACGCAATGAAAGTAGTTTGTTAGATAATGTATTGGTGGATAAAAGGTTGATGGGTAGGCTCCAGGATGTACATGTTTATAGAGGGGCAACTGATATATCGGATCATTATTTAGTTGTAGCTACAGTTAGAGTAAGAGGTAGATGGGACAAGAGGAAGGTGGCAACAACAAGTAGGAGGGAAGTGAAAGTGTATAAACTATGGGAGGAGGAAGTTCGGGTGAGATATAAGTGACTATTGGGTCACCCTGCCTCGATGGGAGACGGCCGACTTGTTAAAAAAAAAAAAAAAAAAGGCAGAAAGGTGGGATAGTGCAAAGATGAGAAGTGGGGGGGGGGGGGGTTGAAGAGGGTTGGATGAGTTTTAAAAATGCAGTAATAGAATGTGGGGCAGAAGTTTGTGGTTATAGGAGGGTGGGGGCAGGAGGAAAGAGGAGTGATTGGTGGAATGATGAAGTAAAGGGTGTGATAAAAGAGAAAAAGTTAGCTTATGAGAGGTTTTTACAAAGCATAAGTGTTATAAGAAGAGTAGAGTATATGGAGAGTAAAAGAAAGGTGAAGAGAGTGGTGAGAGAGTGCAAAAGGAAAGCAGATGATAGAGTGGAAGAGGCAGTGTCAAGAAACTTTAAAGAAAATAAGAAAAAATTTTGGACTGAGTTAAACAAGTTAAGAAAGCCTAGGGAACGTTTGGATTTGTCAGTTAAAAACAGAGTAGGGGAGTTAGTAGATGGGGAGAGGGAGGTATTAGGTAGATGGCGAGAATATTTTGAGGAACTTTTAAATGTTGAGGAAGAAAGGGAGGCAGTAATTTCATGCACTGGCCAGGGAGGTATACCATCTTTTAGGAGTGAAGAACAGAATGTAAGTGTGGGGGAGGTATGTGAGGCATTACATAGAATGAAAGGGGGTAAAGCAGCTGGAACTGACGGGAACATGACAGAAATGCTAAAAGCAGGGGGGGAGGGGGATATAGTGATGGAGTGGTTGATACTTTTGTTTAATAAATGTATGAAAGAGAGGGAAGGTACCTAGGGATTGGCGGAGATCATGTATAGTCCCGTTATATAAAGGGAAGGGAGACAAAAGAGATTGTAAAAATTATAGAGGAATAAGTTTACTGAGTGTAGGCAGTAGGTTGGTAGACAGCAACCACCCAGGGAGGTACTACCGTCCTGCCAAGTGAGTGTAAAACGGAAACCTGTAATTGTTTTACATGATGGTAGGATTGCTGGTTTCCATTTTTCTGTCTCATAAACATGCAAGGTTTCAGGTACTTCTTGCTACTTCTACTTACACTTAGGTCATACTACACATACATGTACAAGCATATATATACACACACCCCTCTTGTTTTCTTCTATTTTCTTTCTAGTTCTTATTCTTGTTTACTTCCTCTTACCTCCATGGGGAAGTGGAACAGAATTCTTCCTGTGAAAGCATTGCGTGTTGTAAGAGGCGACTAAAATGCCGGGAGCAAGGGGCCAGTAACCTCTTCTCCTGTATATATTACTAAATGTAAAAGGAGAAACTTTGGTTTTTCCTTTTGGGCCACTGGTGTGTTGAAAGAAGAAGTAGTTTACTGAGTATACCAGGAAGAGTGTACGGTAGGGTCATAATTGAAAGAATTAGAGGTAAGACAGAATGTAGGATTGCGGATGAGCAAGGAGGTTTTAGAGTGGGTAGGGGATGTGTAGATCAGGTATTTACATTGAAGCATATATGTGAACAGTATTTAGATAAAGGTAGGGAAGTTTTTATTGCATTTATGGATTTAGAAAAGGCATATGATAGAGTGGATAGGGGAGCAATGTGGCAGATGTTGCAAGCATATGGAATAGGTGGTAAGTTACTAAATGCTGTAGAGAGTTTTTACGAGGATAGTGAGGCTCAGGTTAGGGTGTATAGAAGAGAGGGAGATTACTTCCCAGTAAAAGTATGTCTTAGAGAGGGATGTGTAATGTCACCATGGTTGTTTAATATATTTATAGATGGGGTTGTAAAAGAAGTAAATACTAGGGTGTTCAGGAGAGGGGTGGGATTAAATTATGGGGAATCAAATACAAAATGGGAATTGACACAGTTACTTTTTGCTGATGATACTGTGTTTATGGGAGATTCTAAAGAAAAATTGCAAAGGTTAGTGGATGAGTTTGGGAGTGTATGTAAAGGTAGAAAGTTGAAAGTGAACATAGAAAAGAGTAAGGTGATGAGGGTGTCAAATGGTTTAGATAAAGAAAAATTGGATATCAAATTGGGAAGGAGGAGTATGGAAGAAGTGAATGTTTTCAGATACTTGGGAGTTGACGTGTCGGCGGATGGATTTATGAAGGATGAGGTTAATCATAGAATTGATGAGGGAAAAAAGGTGAGTGGTGCGTTAAGGTATATGTGGAGTCAAACAACATTATCTATGGAGGCAAAGAAGGGAATGTATGAAAGTATAGTAGTACCAACACTCTTATATGGGTATGAAGCTTGGGTTGTGAATGCAGCAGCGAGGAGGCGGTTGGAGGCAGTGGAGATGTCCTGTCTATGGGCAATGTGCAGTGTAAATATTATGCAGAAAATTCGGAGTGTGGAAATTAGGAGGTATTATTCAGAGGGCTGAAGAGGGGTTGTTGAGGTGGTTGGGTCATTTAGAGAGAATGGATCAAAGTAGAATGACATGGAGAGCATTTAAATCTGTAGGAGAAGGAAGGTGGGATAGGGGTCGTCCTCGAAAAAGTTGGAAGGAAGGGGTAAGGGAGGTTTTGTGGGCGAGGGGCTTGGACTTCCAGCATGAGCGTGTTCGATAGGAGTGAATGGAGACGAATGGTATTTGGGACCTGACGATCTGTTGGAGTGTGAGCAGGGTAATATTTAGTGAAGGGATTCAGGGAAACCGGTTATTTAAACCGGTTATTTTTATATAGCTGGACTTGAGTCCTGGAAATGGGAAGTACAATGCCTGCACTCTAAAGGAGGGGTTTGGGATATTAGCAGTTTGGAGGGATATGTTGTGTATCTTTATACGTATATGCTTCTAAACTGTTGTGTTCTGAGCACCTCTGCAAAAAAGTGATTGTGTGTGAGTGAGGTGAATGTGTTGAATGATGATGGAAGTATTTTCTTTTTGGGGATTTTCTTTCTTTTTTGGCTCACCCTGCCCCGGTGGGAGACGGCCGAATTGTTCTAAAAAAAAAAAAAAACTTTCTTTTACATATTTGACAAAACTAAAATTTACTACAATAAAAATATTAAATACAACACTAACCTCTTTAGGAAGCTCGATCTCATTCTGCTTCACCTGATTTTTTGCCTTTTCTTTAGCTGGAAAAAGAAATGCATGTAATCAACACTGCCGAGATATCTGGGAAATTCTGTAAATCCACTTCAATTCAATTTTATTTTAATCTGCATACAGCCTATGGTTTTGTTCTGTTATGATCTTTGTCAACACCAAACCCTGTAAGCTGGACAAGAAAGTAGGCAGTGCACCTTGAGGAGCTTTCAATAGAAAATGTAAGTATGATGCTAATTCATACTATAGAACTGTAGCATCATATGCATCTATCCTCCAAATACCTTCTTCCTTTTCCAACTCTTTACAGTGCATCAATTTCTGCACAATCTAAGCCAAGACCAAATGAATAAAGCCAAGACTCCAAATCAATAAAGGAGTGAGAAATGAAACCAAGAATTCACAGAATAGGTAAGGTGAAAATACAGACATATTGTCAAAAGAAACTGTGGTCTGGAGGTTGATGTAGAAAGTACATAGCAGAGAAGTAGACCATGAAAAAGATGAGGAGACATGATCTCTTGCAACACATTATAAAAGTTGCTATGGGAAAGGCTGTGAATCACATGCTGTGGAAAAATTTTGTAGAGAAAATATACCAGGTAAAGTGTATAATAAGGTTATTACTGAAAGAATCAAGGGTAGATGGAAATGATGCGACTAAATCCCTCCATAAATTTTATACTGTAGGCCTCAAATTTTTTATATCCATGTTGATGGTGTGACTAAATCTGGGACTTAATAACAATGAACTTGTACATTAAAAATTTTATGTACAAGTAAATAAAAGAGAAGTGAATGTTAAGGTGTTGGCAAGAGGCTTGGGGTCAAAAGATAAAGAATCTACCACAAGTGGGAGTTGTCACAGTTGCTCTTTGCTGATGACACTGTGCTTTTGGGAGATTCTGAAGAGAAGTTGCAGACATTGGTGGATGAGTTTGGTAGGGTATGTAAAATAAGAAAATTGAAAGTGAACATAGGAAAGAATAAGGTGATGAGGATAACAAAACAATTAGATAACAAAAGATTGGATATCAGGTTGGAGGGAGAGAGTATGGAGGAGGTGAATGTATTCAGATATTTAGGAGTGGTCATGTCAGCAGATGGGTCTATGAAAGATGAGATGAATCATAGAACTGATGAGGGGAAAAAGGTGAGTGGTTCACTGAGGAATTTGTGGAGACAAAGAATATTGCTCATGGAAGAAAGAAGGGGAATGTATGAGAGTATAGTTATACCAACGCTCTTATATGGGTGTGAAGCATGGGTGGTGAATGCTGCAACAAGGAGAAGGCTGGAGGCAGTGGAGATGTCGTGTCTGAGGGCAATGTATGGTGTGAGTATAATGCAGAGAATTCATAGTTTGGAAATTAGGAGGTGTGGGATTACCAAAACTATTATCCAGAGGGCTGAGGAGGGGCTGTTGAGGTGGTTTGGACATGAAGAGAGGATGAAACAAAAATGAATAACTTCAAGAATGTGTTTAATCTGTAGTGGAGGGAAGGAGGGGTAAACGCTGGCATAGGAACGGTTGGAGGGAAAGTGTAAAGGAGGCTTTGTGTGCAAGGGGCTTGGACTTCCAGCAAGCATGCGTGAGCGTGTTAGATAGGAGCAAATGGAGACAAATAGTCTTTAGGACTTGACGTGCTGTTGGAGTGTGAGCAGGGTAATGTTTATGAAGGGATTCAGGGAAATCAGCAGGCTAGATTTGAGTCCTGAAGATGGAAAATACAGGGCCTGCACTCTGAAGGAGGGGTGTTAATGTTGCAGTTTTATAACTGTAATGTAAGTGCCCCTCTGCCAAGGCAGTGATAGAGTGAACGATGGTGAAGGTTTTTCTTTTTTGGGCCACCCTACCTTGGTGGGAGACAGCCGATGTTTTAATAAATAATAAAAATAAATACTGAATCATAAGACTATCAATATTACATCTAATCCCTCATGACACTAGATGAATGTAGATCGGAAGGAGACACAATAACTTTGTTCGGTAAACAGGAAGACAAGGATAAGCTAAATGATACAAGAGGGTTTAAGATGAAGACAGATGGAATTTGAGCTAGCAAATGATGAATAAAATGGCTAAAACTTTTTTATTACTTAAAATAAAGTGACCTTATGAATCATGCAGTTGAGGCTAGAGTAATGACAGTAGTATCCATTAACAGGAGGGGGGGGGTTAATCATTCTCAAGCCTCCCCCCCAATGCAAAATACCTTTTTCTTTATTTTTTCAATTAATAGCAAATTTTCACTGTATTATACTGATCAGTGACCACAAACGCATGATAATTTAAGAAATTTCACATGAATACAGAAAATCATGGTTTTAAATATAATTTATGTTATCTCACTAGCTGTAGGTAGTAGGTTGGTAGACAGCAACCGCCCAGGGAGGTACTACCGTCCTGCCAAATGAGTGTAAAACAGAATCCTGTAATTGTTTTACATGATGGTAGGATTGCTGGTGTCTTTTTTCTGTCTCTTAAACACGCAAGATTTCAGGTACGTCTTGCTACTTCTATTTACACTTAGGTCACACTACACATACATGTACAAGCACATATATACACACTCTGGGTTTTCTTCTGTTTTCTTTCTAGTTCTTGTTCTTGTTTATTTCCTCTTATCTCCATAGGGAAGTGGAACAGAATTCTTCCTCCCCAAGCCATGCGTGTTGTAAGAGGTGACTAAAAAGCCGGGAGCAAGGGCCTAGTAACCCCTTCTCCTGTATAAATTACTAAATTTAAAAAGAGAAACTTTTGTTTTTCTTTTTGGGCCACCCTGCCTTGGTGGGATACGGCTGGTTTGTTGAAAAAAAAAAAATCTCACTATCTTACGATTTATAAGCTCCTCCCAGATTGAAATCTTGGCTGTGTTACTGTCCACTGATGCAAAAGTAAGCAGAATATATTACATCATAATCTTTCATTTTCAAAAGAATATAATGATTTTTATTATCATTATTATTTTAACCCTTAAACGGTCCAAACGTACATATATATGTTTTTTCAACATTTGAAAGTATGCAAAAAAATGTACATCATCATTTTTTTTTTTTACATTTGAAAATGTGTAAAAAACTTTTATCTACACTTTTTTTTTTTTGTTATACAGTGGACCCTCGACCAACGATATTAATCCGTTCCTGAGAGCTCATCGTTAGTCGAAATTATCGTTAGTCGAGTTAATTTTCCCCATAAGAAACAATGGAAATCAAATTAATCCGTTCCTGACACCCCAAAGTATTGAAAAATTTTTTTACCACATGAAATATTAATTTTAATACACACAAACTGAAGAAGACATGTACAATTACATGACACTTACCTTTATTGAAGATCTGGTGATGATTGATGGGATGGGAGGAGGGGAGTGTGTGGATGGTGTTAGTGTTTAGAAGGGGAATCCCCTTCCATTAGGACTTGAGGTGTCAAGTCCTTTTCTGGGGTTACTTCCCTTCTTCTTCTTTTAATGCCACTAGGACCATTATTATTATTATTATAATCAAGGGGAAGCGCTAAACCCGGAGGATTATACAGCGCCTGGGGAGGGGGGGGGGATTTTGTGGAAGGCATCAGGCTTAATTCGGGGAACTGGAGCACAGATTCAATTCCCTAAATCAAGAGCCCCTCACCAACATCAAGGAACCTTCCTTGAGGGGCCACTAGGACCAGCTTGAGAGTCACTGGACCTCTGTCGCACAACATATCTGCCCATAGAGCTCTGTACCTCCCGTTCCTTTACGATTTGTCTAAAATGGGCCACAACATTGTCATTGTAATAGTCACCAGCACGGCTTGCAATAGCTGTGTTAGGATGATTTTCATCCATAAAAGTTTGCAGTTCAACCCACTTTGCACACATTTCCTTAATCTTTGAAGTAGGCACAATGGATTCCACAACTGGCATAGGCGTCTCAGGGTTAGCCCCAAACCCTTCAAAATCTTTCTTAATTTCCATACTAATTCTCACCCTTTTCATCACAGGGATGGCACTAGAAGCTTTCTTGGGGCCCATAGTGACTTATTTTGCAGGTGCAATCACTAAAAATGCTGTGATAATATGAAATGTTCCGATTGTATGTTTGGATGCGACCGCAGTGGCTGGCTTGTAAACACTGCGCAGGCCACACGTGGACGCGCCTCAAACGGAACGAATCGCATTGGTTGAGTTTTTTAGCACTAGTCGAGACAAAATTTTTGCGTTAAAATGTATCGCTAGTCGGATTTAACGTTATACGATGCCATCGTTGGTCAAGGGTCCACTGTATTTGAAAATATGTAAAAAAAACATAGATCTACTTTTGGAGCACTACGGATTTGAACGTCGATCTATTTGGACTGTTTAAGGGTTAATCCTATGACCAATCAACTTTCAATAAAGAAAAACTATCCTTGACATTCACATGCAAACTAAGTTTTTTTTTTTTTACCTAGCAAATTCAAAGCTACTAACCAGGTGACTGTTTTAAGTTATCTCCTAGAGCTTTGTTAGCAGGTGAGGAAAATTTTGAGGTAACATCTTGTGTAGATTTGGACTTGGGAGTTGCATTTGGGGTGACCTTTGGTGAAGCATCTACATCTCTGTTCTTTGGAGGGCGACCTCTCTTCTTTGGTGGGGGACCCTTTAAAATATAGTGCATAAAAAAAAGTTAAAAATGTTATCATTAAAACCAGTGCCTTGTCAGTCACTCAAACACTGACAGAACCACAGGGATAGTGGATCCTTTCCTTTTCTCCTCCTCCCATCAAGGGATACTACCCAATGAAATTAGATAAATGTGGTTCATAAATCAGAATGTCTGCAAGGATAAACTGCCATAAAAAAGTGAGTAGTACAACAAAAAAATGGGATGGAGGGTGCCTATGAGCCCCACTAAACTAGTACATTAAGAAGCTTCTGTTAATATATATAAGCCCTGCTCAAGCCCTACTGCAGTGTCAGATGCCTGTAACATAGATGCAGTTCCTCTTTGCTCTGTTTCATTGTCAGGAACCTAGGCTGGAGAGGTTATACCACACACTTTTTTATCTCTTATTCAGTAACTTCTAATCATTCACCATCATACCACATCAGTGTTTCTTTTCTATACATTATAGTTTAAGTAACAATTCCTTCATGCTGTGCAAGAGTTGCACCCATTTTGTATATTTTTCCTCCTAATTAGGGCTTTCATATTTACCTGTCTCTATAAGTTTCACTAACATTTATGCAACTTTAAACTGTACATTTAACACTTACAGTAGGGGTAGAAACTGGTTCTTCACGTATCACTGATGATTCATCCGAGCTTATGATGGAAAGTCTCTTTTTCGGAGTGGTGATAGGTGGTGAATAGGGTGGGCTCTTTGTAGCATTATTGACTCCTGTTGTTGATGTAGTTGTTGTTACTTCTGAAAATTGGATAATAAAAACACTGCTCTCAGAGAAATTTCTTTGAATGTTTGTCCTATTATTTAACATCATTGAATATATAATGTACTCTTGTCCCTGTCATACCTTCTGCTCAAATCATGCTCCAATAATATTTATTTTACATAAATGTTTGCAATACCATCTTAACCACTTCACTGGCCATGCCGTAGTACTACGGCTTTGAGATCACTGGCCGTGCTGATGTACTATGGCACAAGCTCAGCTCACTAAGATAAGCTTCAAGTGGTAAATTTGGGCCTAGATATGAAAGAATGGATCTATGCAGAAAGTATGCACCATATAAAAAAATCCTGCAGCATGCAGTGCAAGAGAAAAAAACTGTAACCGTGTTTTTGGTTTAAAACAGCAACTTTGCGGTATATTTATGTATGTTTTTACAGTTATATTCTTAGTTTCTTGGTCTCATTTGATATTCTAGAATGGATGATATATCACAGAAACAGAGATGATTCTGATTAGTTTGAGGACTGAAAATAGCTTGATATTGAGCTCAAAGTAGCGGAAATGTTCGATTTTTGCCAATACAGTGGACCCCCGATTAACGATATTTTTTCATTCCAGAAGTATGTTCAGGTGCCAGTACTGACCGAATTTGTTCCCATAAGGAATATTGTGAAGTAGATTAGTCCATTTCAGACCCCCAAACATACACGTACAAACGCACTTATATAAATACACTTACATAATTGGCCACATTAGGAGGTAATCGTTAAGCGGGGGTCTACTGTATTCAAGAGTAAGCAAATCACGTTACTCATTCAGTCCGAGTCCAGCTGGTGGGTCTAATGTGCAATCACGAATGTGATGATATTTATAAAATTATTACAATATTGCATAACAGTCAATCTACATTTTTTGTGAATAAAATTTCTTTGTGTGAATAAGAAATCAAAATGGAATTCATGTGTAAAGCCTGGGAACATAGCTAATGAACAGAGGAAAGATTATTTTAGTGCCAGGAATGCCTGCATTATTCTGGACCTTATTTTGAAATTGGAATATTTTGGAATTTGTGTGAAACTGGCCAAATTACCTATTTTTGATCATTTTACTGGGTAGTGGAAATAGTTGACTGGGCAATTTTTTGTGCTCAATTGATAAAAAGAAAGACATAATAGTGAAATAGCTAAGAATTCAGTCAAGTGGAACAATGTAATTGGCCTAAAATGGGGCTCAAATTAGGCAAAATTGCCGGTGTAAATACTGCTGAACAGCAAAATTCACAAAAACATAATTTTGTCAATTTTCCATCAAATTTCGTACATTTTATTTCATTACCCTCCAAAAAAGATTCTCTACCATTTCCTAAGAAAAACAACAATTTTTTTTTTTTTTAATTCTCAGATGATGTGGACAAGTTTCAGATCGTGGGTCTGAACAGTTAATGATTTATTAAACATTTTCTTCTCACTCATCACTGAGTAGTATAGCATTTCAGCAGCTGAAATTTTTTCTTTTTTAACAAGTCAGCCATCTCCCACCGAGGCAGGGTGACCCAAAAACAAAGAAAATCACCAAAAAGAAAATACACTGTTTTTGTAGAGGTGCCCAAAATACAACAGTTTAGAAGTATATATGTATAAAGATACACAACAAATCCCTCCAAACTGCCAATATCACAAATCCCTCCTTTAAAGTGCAGGCATTGTACTCCCCATTTCCAGGACTCAAGTCCAGCTATATAAAATAACTGGTTTCCCTGAATCCCTTCACTAAATATTACCCTGCTCACACTACAACACCTCGTCAGGTCCCAAATACCATTCGTCACCATTCACTCCTATCCAACACACTCACGCACGCTTGCTGAAAGTCCAAGCTCCTCGCCCACAAAACCTCCTTGACCCCCTCCCTCCAACCCTTTCGAGGGCAACCCCTACCCCGCCTTCCTTCCCCTACAGATTTATACGCTCTCTATGTCATTCAAATTTGATCCGCTCTCTCTAAATGGCCAAACCACCTCAACAATCCCTCTTCACTTTTATTAACTCCATACCTCCTAATTTCCTCACTCCGAATTTTCTGCATAATATTTACACCACACATTGCCCTTAGACACGACATCTCCACTGCCTCCAACTGCCTCCTCACTGCAGCATTTACAACCCAAGCTTCACACCCATATAAGAGTGTTGGTACTACTATACTTTCATACATTCCCTTCTTTGCCTCCATAGATAACGTTCTTCGTCTCCACATATACCTCAACGCACCACTCATCTTTTTTCCCTCATCAATTCTATTATTAACCTCATCCTTCATAAATCCATCTGCTGACATGTCAACTCCTAAATATCTGAAAACATTCACTTCTTCCATACTCCTCCTCCCCAATTTGATACCCAATTTTTCTTTATTTAAATCATTTGATACCCTCATCACTTTACTCTTTTCTATGTCCACTTTCAACTTTCTACCTTTACACACTCTTCCAAATTTGTCCACTAACCTCTGCAATTTTTCTTTAGAATCACCCATAAGCAAAATATCATCAGCAAAAAGTAACTGGGTCACTTCCCATTTTGGATTTGATTCCCCATAATTTAATCCCACCCCTCTCACGAACACCATAGGATTTACTTCTTTTACAACCCCATCTATAAATATATTAAACAACCATGGTGACATTACACATCCCTGTCTAAGACCTACTTTTACTGGGAAGTAGTCTCCCTCTCTTCTACACACCCTAATCTGAGCCTCACTGTCCTCATAAAAACTCTTAACAGCATTTAGTAACTTACCACCTATTCAACATACAGTGGACCCCCGGTTAATGATATTTTTTCATTCCAGAAGTATGTTCAGGTGCCAGTACTGACTGAATTTGTTCCCATAAGGAATATTGTGAAGTAGATTAGTCCATTTCAGACCCCCAAACATACACGTACAAACGCACTTACACAAATACACTTACATAATTGGTCGCATTGGGAGGTGATCGTTATGCGGGGGGTCCACTGTACTTGCAACATCTGCCACATTGCTCCCTTATTCACTCTATCATATGCCTTTTCTAAATCCATAAATGCAATAAAAACTTCCCTACCTTTATCTAAATACTGTTCACATATATGCTTCAATGTAAATACCTGATCTACACATCCCCTACCCACTCTAAAACCTCCTTGCTCATCCACAATCCTACATTCTGTCTTACCTCTAATTCTTTCAATAATAACCCTACCGTACACTTTTCCTGGTATACTCAGTAAACTAATTCCTCTATAATTTTTACAATCTCGTTTGTCCCACTTCCCTTTAAATAAAGGGACTATACATGCTCTCTGCCAATCTTTAGGTACCCTCCCCTCTTTCATACATTTAGTAAACAAAAATACCAACTGCTCCAACACTATATCCCCCCCTTGCTTTTAACATTTCTGTCATGATCCCGTCAGTTCCAGCTGCTTTATCCCCTTTCATTCTACGTAATGCCTCACGCGCCTCCACCACACTTACATCCTGCTCTTCTTCACTTCTAAAAGATGGTATACCTCCCTGGCCAGTGCATGAAATTACCGCCTCCCTTTCTTTGTCGACATTTAAAAGTTTCTCAAAGTATTCTTGCCATCTACCCAATACCTCCATCTCCCCATCTAACTCTCCTACTCTATTTTTAACTGACAAATCCATTTGTTCCCTATGCTTTCTTAACTTGTTTAACTCACTATAAAAATTTTTCTTATTTTCATTAAAATTTCTAGATAGTGCCTCTCCCACTCTTTCATCTGCTCTCCTTTTGCACTCTCTCACCACTCTCTCCACCTTTCTTTTACTCTCCATATACTCTACTCTTCTTATAACACTTCTGCTTTGTAAAAACCTCTCATAAGCTACCTTTTTCTCTTTTATCACACCCTTTACTTCATCATTCCACCAATCACTCCTCTTTCCTCCTGCCCCCACCCTCCTATAACCACAAACTTCTGCCCCGCATTCTACTACTGCATTTTTAAAACTATTCCAACCCTCTTCAACCCCCCCACTACTCATACTTGCACCAGCCCACCTTCCTGCCAATAGTTGCTCATATCTCACCCGAACTTCCTCCTCCCTTAGTTTATACACTTTCACCTCCCTCTTACTTGTTGTTGCCATTTTCCTCTTGTCCCATCTACCTCTTACTCTAACTGTAGCTACAACTAAATAATGATCCGATATATCAATTGCCCCTCTATAAACGTGTACATCCTGAAGTCTACCCATCAACCTTTTATCCACCAATACATAATCTAACAAACTACTTTCATTACATGCTCTATCATACCATGTATATTTATTTATCCTCTTTTTCATAAAATATGTATTACTTATTACCACACCTCTTTCTACACATAGTGCAATTAAATCTCCCCATTTTCATTTACCCCTGGCACCCCAAATTTACCTACTACTCCCTCCACAACATTTTTACCCACTTTAGCATTGAAATCCCCAACCACAAGTACTCTCACACTTGGTTCAAAACTCCCTGCGCATTCACTCAACATTTCCCAAAATCTCTCTCTCTCCTCTACACTTCTCTCATCTCCAGGTGCATACATGCTTACTACTATAACCTACTTTTCACATCCAACCTTTATTTTACTCCACATAACCCTTGAATTAACCCTTTCAGGGTCCAAGGCCCTAATCTGGAGTCACGCACCAGTGTCCAAGAATTTTCAAAAAAAAAATTTGTTATTTTTTCTTATGAAATCGTAGAGAATCTTTTTGTGAAGGTAATAAAACAAAAAGTACGAAATTTGGTGGAAAATTGACAAAATTATGCTCTCGTGAATTTTGATGTGTCAGCGATATTTACGAATCGGCGATTTTGCTGACTTTGACTCCCATTTTAGGCCAATTACATTATTCCAATCAACCAAATTCTTAGCTATTTCACTAGTATTACTTCTATTCTATCGATTGAGGACAAGAAATCGCCAAGTCAACTGTTTCAACTACAAAATAAAGTGATCGGAAATTGTTAATTTGGCCAATTTAACACAAAGTTCAAAATATTCCAATTTCAAAATAGGGTCCAGAATAAACAATGTAGGCATTCCTGGCACTAAACTAACATTTCCTCTGTTCATTAGTTATGTTTTGAGGCTTTACAAATAAATTCCATTTTGATTTTTTATTCACATAATGAATTTTTATTCACACCAAAAAATAAAAGATTTACTGTTATGCAATACTGTAATAATTGTATAAATATCATCACCATATTTGTGAATGTATATTAGACCCACCAGCTGACGTGTATTAGAAGTGTGAGGTCGTTTGTTTACTCTTGAATATCGGCAAAAATTTAACATTTCCGCTACTTTGAGCTCAGTTTCAAGCCATTTCCAGTGCTAAAACCAATCAAAATCATCTCTATTTCTGTAATATGTCTTCCATTCTATCAAATGAGACCAAGAAATCGCAAATACAACTATAAAAAACATACGAAAAAACACTGCAAAGTTGCTGTTTTAATCGAAAAATCATGATTTCAGTTTTTTTCTCTCATTATACACAGCGTGCTGCAGGATTTGTTTTATGTGGTGCACACATACCACATAGATGTATTCTCTCATATCTAGGCCCAAATGTACCACTCACAGTTTATCAGAGTGAGCTGAGCTCATGGCGTAGATCTACGGTTTGGACACTCACCGTAAAGCCGTAGATCTACGGGACGGACCCTGAAAGGGTTAATACATTTATACTCCCTCTTTCCCTGCCATAGCTTATCCTTCAACATTATTGCTACTCCTTCTTTAGCTCTAACTCTATTTGAAATCCCTGACCTAATCCCATTTATTCCTCTCCACTGAAACTCTCCCACCCCCTACAGCTTTGTTTCACTTAAAGCCAAGACATTCAGCTTCTTCTCATTCATAACATCCACAATCATCTCTTTCTTATCATTCGCACAACATCCACGCACATTCAAACAACCCACTTAGAAAATTTTCTTCTTCTTATTCTTTTTAGTAATTACAGGAAAAGGGGTTACTAGGCCATTGTTCCCAGTATTTTAGTTGACTTTTACAACACGCATGGCTTACGGAGGAAAGATTCTTATTCCACTTCCCCATGGATATAAAAGGAAAAGTAATAAGAAACAAGAACTATTAAGATAAAATGAAAGAAAACTCAGATGAGTGTATATAGATAAACGTGTACACATATGTGTAGTGTGACCTAAGTGTAAGTAGAAGTAGCAAGACGTACCTGTAATCTTGCATATTTATGAGACAGACAAAAGACACCAGCAATCCTACCAGCATGTAAAACAATTACAGGCTTTCGTTTTACACTCACTTGGCAGAACGGTAGTACCTCCCTGGGTGGTTGCTGTCTACCAACCTACTACCTACAAAAAATAGCTTGTTTAATTGCATCAAGATGATGAGCAAGGTAATAAATACCTCAAGAAAGCACTTTTCAGATTTGTAAATTCATGTTCTTTACAACTGTTTTATTTTCCTATTGATTTAATTAATGTTTCTACATTAATTTTCCCACCATCATTAACTATTTTTTTTTACTTCAGTGGGTGTTTCTCATCACCAAGTGTTGTAAAAGAAAGTGAATGCTGGGATGCTGGGAAGAATCATATGTAAAAGATAATGAATGAGATACCAACTGGGAGTTGTTGTAGTTGCTCTCTGCCAATGACATGGTTCTTTTGGGAGATTCTAAAGCGAAGTTGCAAAGGTTGCTGGAGGAATTTTGAAGGGAATGCAAAAGGAAGCAAAACGTGAATACTGGAAAGAGAAAAGCGATGAGAATAACAAAATCAAAACAATGAAAGATTGGATATCCACTTGGAGGGAGTGAGGAGGAAGTAAATGTTTTCAGATATTTCGGATTTGACTTAATGGCAGATGGATCTAAGAAAGAAGAGGCACACCAGGTTAAAAAGAAAGAAAAAAAAAAAAAAAAAAAAAGATAAATGGTGCATTGAGGCACCTGAGGAAACAAAGAATGTCATCCAGAAGCAAAATGGGGAATATACCAGAATACAGTGGTACCAACACTGTGATATGTTGTGAATCATAATTCCTACAAGGCTCCAATTTTGAGGAATGTATTTCCATGTTAAGAGAAAGTTTACTGTAGTCAAAGCGTGTAACAATAATTTCTAGAGATGTTAAAGATATGTTCACATTTTTAGTTATGAACCTTGACAACCAACCTGATATAGATGTTGCCAGTGCATCAGTGGTTCCTTCTGCAGGCGTTCCTGCAGCAGCAGAAGGTGGTCGAGAGGCATCTTGCCCCTCATCTATAAACTTTTTGGGTTTAATCAGTCGTCCGCTCCGACTAATTTGTGGCTCTGTGTCCAATGCCTGCTGGGATCAAAATATTTAGGTAGATATAGGAATTCAATGGAAAATGTAATCCAATAAATTTAGGCTAAACTTAAACTAATTTTCTGCTTTTATCAACAACTGATTAAGTTTTTCTCAGTATAATATTTTATTTCAAGAACTTACCAGCTGGCGAGGCATTTTTGAGATAAAACATGGTAAAGGAAAATGACCTCTCTATATCTAGGTTTTCAATGAGTATATTACATAATAGAAGATTTACATTTTAACTTTTTAAACTATTACAAATCTCCATGGAGAAGTGGAATAGAATTTTTCCTCTGTAAGCCATGCGTGTCGTAAGAGGCGACTAAAATGCTGAAAGCAAGAGGCTTGTAATCCCTTCAGTAGGATATGGCCGGTTTGAGAGAAAAAAAAAAATCAAATCCAAACAAACAGACAAATTTGTTTTTAAAGTGCTTTCAACAAATCAGTTCAGCAGAAAGCAGGAGACTGGGGGGAAGAGAAGATCCAGTATACGAGTGTCAATGGTATTAGTAACTATTGTTATGCTAAAAACTATCTGCGACTAAATATAAAATATTCAGAGCATCCCTATTTAATATATACAATGGAACCTCAGTACTCAAACAGCTCCATACTCGAACAATTTAGTATTCAAACACTTTGTTTGGCAAACAAGTCGCTCGGTAGCCAACTGTTTGCTCGGCACTCAACCAAACAAACACAACATGCCAGAACTTCGCTGTAAATTATTTTGTGTTTCTTCTCATTTTTTGGTGTTTTTTATATTATTTGTATAAATAAGTCACCACGGGGCCTATGAGGGTTAGTGATAACAGCCAACCAAAAAGAAAATTGGCTGGGAAAAATTAGTTCTGTACTCGATTAGCCTTCTGGAACCAATTAAGTTCGAGTGCCGAGGTTCCACTGTACTGGCTCCCTTCCCTTCATGCTTGTGTGTGACTAGTTAACCCCTTGACTGTCGCAACCCCCAATCCTGAGGTGTCTCCTGGTGTCGCAAAATTTAAAAAAAAAAAAAAATTATTTTTTCTTATGAAATGATAGAGAATCTTTTCCCGATTGTAATGATACCAAAAAAAAAACGAAATTTGATGGAAAACTGGGGGAATTATGCTCTCGCGAAGTTAGCGACCTCGGCGATATTTACAAATCGGCAATTTCGCCCACTTTGAGCCCTATTTTCGGCTAATTCCGTTGTTTCTGTCGACCCAACTCATAGCTATTTCTTTAGAACTCCATTTTTTCTATCGATTGAGTACAAGAAACTGCCCATTTACCGATTTGAACTACCCAATAATGTGGTCAGAAATTTGCAATTTGGCCAATTTCACAAAAATTAAAAAATATGACAATATCAAAATAAGGTCCAGAATGAACAATGCAGACATTCCCGGCTCTAAAATAACATATTCTTTGTTCATCAGTCATGTCTCCAGGCCCCTCTGATATTACTCTTGCTTTCTATTTTGAATTTTTATTCAAACAAAAAATAGAAGACTTACTATTATGCAGACTACTGCAATAACATAAACCCATTCATGACTGCATATTAGAATGGCTAGTTGGACATTTATTGGACAATGACACCATTTGTTTACTTTTGAACATCGGCAAAAATCAAACATTTCCCCTACTTTGAGCTCCATTTCAAGGTTCTTTTTATAGTAAAATCAATCAAAATCACCACTATTTCTATAATATGTTTTCCGTTCTATCAAATGAGACCAAGAAAACGAGAATACAACCATAAATACTATACGAAAATAGACCACAAATTCGGCATTTTAATTAAAAAAAAAAACGGTCGGAGTTTTTTTTTTCTCATTATGTACTGCGTGCTCCAGGATTTTTTTTATATGGTGCACACTGACCACACAGACCCATTCTCTCACATGTGGGCCTACCAGCTTTCTCCTGCTTGATTTGAAGCCGCTATAATATGAAGCTGCATATTAGAATGGCTAGTTGGACATTTATTGGACAATGACACCATTTGTTTACTTTTGAACATTGGCAAAAATCAAACATTTCCCCTACTTTGAGCTCCATTTCAAGGTTCTTTTTATAGTAAAATCAATCAAAATCACCACTATTTCTATAATATGTTTTCCATTCTATCAAATGAGACCAAGAAAACGAGAATACAACCATAAATACTACACGAAAATAGACCACAAAGTCGGCGTTTTAATTAAAAAAAAACGGTCGGAGTTTTTTTTTTCTCATTATGCACTGCGTGCTCCAGGATTTTTTTTACATGGTGCACACTGACCACACAGACCCATTCTCTCACATGTGGGCCTACCAGCTTTCTCCTGCTTGATTTGAAGCCGCTAGAATTTATGAGTAGTAGGTTGGTAGACAGCAACCACCCAGGGAGGTACTACCGTCCTGCCAAGTGAATGTAAAACAAAAGCCTGTAATTGTTTTACATGATGGTAGGATTGCTGGTGTCTTTTGTCTGTCTCATAAATATGTAAGATTACAGGTATGTGCTACTTCTACTTACACTTAGGTCACACTACACATACATGTACACATTTATTTATACACACTCATCTGAGTTCTCTTTGATTTTATCTTAATAGTTCTTGGTCTTATTACTTTTCCTTTTATATCCATGGGGAAATGGAATAAGAATCTTTCCTCCGTAAGCCATGCGAGTTGTAAAAGTCAACTAAAATGCCGGGAACAATAGGCTAGTAACCCCTCTTCCTGTAAAGATTACTAAAAAGAATAAGAAGAAAATTGTCAAAGTGGGAAGTCTGAATGTGCGTGGATGTTGTGCAAATGATAAGAAAGAGATGATTGTGGATGTTATGAATGAAAAGAAGCTGGATGTCCTGGCTTTAAGTGAAACAAAGCTGAAGGGGGTGGGAGAGTTTCAATGGAGAGGAATAAATGGGATTAGGCCAAGGGTTTCAAATAGAGTTAGAGCTAAAGAAGGAGTAGCAATAATGTTGAAGGATAAGCTATGGCAGGAAAAGAGGGACTATAAATGTATTAATTCAAGGATTATGTGGAGTAAAATAAAGATTGGATGTGAAAAGTGGGTTACAGTAAGCGTGTATGCACCTGGAGAAGAAAGAAGTGTAGAGGAGAGAGAGAGAGATTTTGGGAAATGTTGAGTGAATGTGTGTAGAAAGAGATTTGGTAATAAGTAATACATATTTTATGAAAAAGAGGATAAATAAATATACAAGGTATGATGTAGCAGGTAATGAAAGTAGTTTGTTAGATTATGTATTGGTGGATAAAAGGTTGATGGGTAGGCTCCAGGATGTACATGTTTAAAAAGGGGCAACTGATATATCGGATCATTATCTAGTTGTAGCCACAGTTAGAGTAAGAGGTAGATGGGACAATAGGAAAATGGCAACAACAAGTAAGAGGGAGGTGAAAGTGTATAAACTAAGGGAGGAGGAAGTTCGGGGGAGATATAAGCGACTGTTGGCAGAAAGGTGGGCTAGTGCAAAAACCCTGGGGCGTAAGCCGTACTAGTACAGCCAAAACCCTGAAAGGGTTAAGAAACAATTATTGACTGCTGCTATGAAGAAAAAATGGCTCCAGTGGGTACTCAATCATAAGGTATGAACGACAGATGAATGGAGAAAAAGTTATATTTTCAAATGAGGCACATTATGAATTACATGGGTGTAGATCAGTGGTAGTGAGATGGAGTAAGGCAAACTTCTTCAGAATGGACACATTCAACAAGTACCAAAACACCCACCTAAGAATTTTTTGGGTAGTTTTACTGCTAAAGGCCCTGGACAGCCTGTTATTGTTGATGGAACAAAGAAACAGTGACAAATAACAGGCAATCCTGGCAATTCCTTTGTTTCCCCTTGTGGACAGAGACTTTCTTGATGGAGAAGGCATTGTCCAGCAGGATCTTGCTCCATGCCACGCTTCCAGAAAAATGCTCACATTCTTCAAAGAAAGTGGGCTAAGCATTCTAAACTGGCTTGGAAACTCTCCTGACCTCAACCCATTTGAGAATCTATGGTTAATAACCAAATGCAGCATCGTGAAACAGGACTGTTCAACTGTGGACAAACTAACTGCTGCTGTTATAGGGACCTAGTTCCTCGATGAAGAACTTGCCAAAATGTGTTCAACATTGGTTGATTCTATGTCAAAGTGTGCAGAAATGCTTATAAAAGCAAAGGGCAGTTATATCTCTTATTAAATCAATTATCTGTCATATCACTGTTGTGTATTTTTCAAATAAACATTAATTTTCCAAATAAATGTCTTATTTCATCACTGTCCCAATTAATGTGCACATTACTGTATTTGGTAGGGTGTGCAAAAGAAGAAAATTAAAGGTGAATACAGGAAAGAGTAAGGTTATGAGGATAACAAAAAGATTAGGTGATGAAAGATTGAATATCAGATTGGAGGGAGAGAGTATGGAGGAGGTGAACGTATTCAGATATTTGGGAGTGGACGTGTCAGCGGATGGGTCTATGAAAGATGAGGTGAATCATAGAATTGATGAGGGAAAAAGAGTGAGTGGTGCACTTAGGAGTCTGTGGAGACAAAGAACTTTGTCCTTGGAGGCAAAGAGGGGAATGTATGAGAGTATAGTTTTACCAACGCTCTTATATGGGTGTGAAGCGTGGGTGATGAATGTTGCAGCGAGGAGAAGGCTGGAGGCAGTGGAGATGTCATGTCTGAGGGCAATGTGTGGTGTGAATATAATGCAGAGAATTCGTAGTTTGGAAGTTAGGAGGAGGTGCGGGATTACCAAAACTGTTGTCCAGAGGGCTGAGGAAGGGTTGTTGAGGTGGTTCGGACATGTAGAGAGAATGGAGCGAAACAGAATGACTTCAAGAGTGTATCAGTCTGTAGTGGAAGGAAGGCGGGGTAGGGGTCGGCCTAGGAAGGGTTGGAGGGAGGGGGTAAAGGAGGTTTTGTGTGCGAGGGGCTTGGACTTCCAGCAGGCATGCGTGAGCGTGTTTGATAGGAGTGAATGGAGACAAATGGTTTTTAATACTTGACGTGCTGTTGGAGTGTGAGCAAAGTAACATTTATGAAGGGATTCAGGGAAACCGGCAGGCCGGACTTGAGTCCTGGAGATGGGAAGTACAGTGCCTGCACTCTGAAGGAGGGGTGTTAATGTTGCAGTTTAAAAACTGTAGTGTAAAGCACCCTTCTGGCAAGACAGTGATGGAGTGAATGATGGTGAAAGTTTTTCTTTTTCGGGCCACCCTGCCTTGGTGGGAATCGGCCAGTGTGATAATAAAAAAATATTACTGTATCAAAAATAAGTACCAGTGAGACAACCAAAAAATTAAATCTATTTGATCATTAGCTAAAAATAAGATTGTTGTACTAGTTTCACCAAAAATAAAAAAAGATGTATTTTCTTTCTAACCTGCTTTTGAAGATGAATTTTCTAGCATCCTCAAGACCTCCCTCACTTAGTAAACCTACCTGTTTTGGAGTGTCCTTTGGAGTGTCTTTTTGTAGTAGGCGAGTCTGCCTTGGTGTGTCCTTGGGTGTTTTCTTTCCATCCCCTGGAGCAACTTTCTTTGCTGGAGTCTCGGTGGTTCCGTCCGAGTCCTGCCTCTTCCTTTTTCTGCCAACTTTCTTCCCTAGAAATTGCACCAAGTAAGTAGAATATGCAAAACAATTCATCAAAAATAAACTACCATATCAAATTTCAATATAGCTAATGCACATTACTTTCATTAAAGTGTGTTGGTAGTAGGTTGGTAGACAGCAACTGCCCAGGGGGGTACTACCGTCCTGCCAAGTGAGTGTGAAACGGAGGCCTGTAATTGTTTTACATGATGGTAGGATTGCTGGCGCCTTTTTTCTTTCTCATAAACATGCAAGATTTCAGGTACATCTTGCTACTTCTATTACACTTAGGGCACACTACACATTCATGAACAAGTATATATACATACATACCCCTCTGGGTTTTCGTCTATTTTCTTGCTATTTTCTTGTTCTTGTTATTGTTTACTTCCGCTTATCTCCATGGGAAGTGAAACAGAATTCTTCCTCCGCAACCATTTTTGTCGTAAGAGGCAACTAAAATGCCAGGAGTAAGGGGCCCTAGTGACTCCTCCTTTCTCCTATATGTATTATTAAATTTAAAAGGAAAAAGCTTAGTTTTTTTTTTTTGGGCCACCCTGCCTAGACGGGATACGGCCATTTTAAATTAAAAGTGTTGGAAGCGAGCCAAGTATAGCAATGGCAACTCAATTATCCTCATTAAACATAGGAGTTTTTCCCTTTAAATTCTCAAAGTTAACACAGCCTCTCCTCACTTAACACTGAGTTCCGTTCCTAAGACCACGTCAGTAAACGAATTCGTCGCTAAGTGAGGAGCATACTATAATGGTAGTAGGTTTGTGTTAACCATCTTTGATATTGTTTAAAATAATATCACCTTTTCACCATTTATGACATTTCTGGTATATTTTAAATGTTTATACAGTAGTCTAAATGTATATTGTAATAAACAAATAGAGGAAATCAGCTCTAATATACATTTTTTTAGGTATGCATACTAGTCAGAGAGCCCACTGTAAGGCCGAGTCGTCGGTAAAGATACGCCGCTAAGTGAGGAGAGGCTGTATATGACTTAGTAACAAAGCAAGAACAACTATATAAGAAATACAGTATACCTCGATTTAACAGAGACCCTCCTTAACAACTTCAGAAACAATGGAAAAAAATAGGCTGGGTACAGAAGTACCCATTGTTTGTTTTCTTCATGAAGTGACCTGAAGACAGTGATTAAGCTTATTATTGCCTACGCCTTCGGGAAATAGACAGGTGTGGTTCACTCTCCGTTTTTCCTGGATTTTTTCAGGATATCTTCACTATGTTATAAATATAAAGTACACTGGGATAGTGGGCTAGAATTCTTGCCTTTGTATACCACACATGTTTATAAAAGATGACTAAAATGTCAGGAACAAGAGTGATGCAACCCATTTTGTGTTCAATTACTATAAAGAAGTAAATTTTGAAACAGGTGTAAAGATTGTGCATTGGTGTAGTATAGATAAGAATCAATTGTTAATGCTTTAAATATAAGCAAGAAGATGGATGTCCTAATACTAAATGATATTTATATTATATTAACACATCGACATCTCCCACAAGGCAGGGCAGCCCAAAAAGGAAAAACTTTCATCATCATTCACTCCATCACTGTCTTGCCAGAGGGACACTTACACTTAATACTAAATGAAACAAAGTTTTACAACGGGGGGAACAATGCTAATTGTGGGGAGTAGAGGTAATATTAATTATCAACTGCATAAAGAAAAGAGGGATTAAAAAAAAGTATATTTTCAAGAAGCTGGATGTCCTGGCTTTAAGTGAAACAAAGCTGAAGGGGGTGGGAGAGTTTCAGTTCGGGAGAAATAAATGGGATTAGGTCAGGGGTTTCAAACAGAGTTAGAGCTAAAGGAAGAGTAGCAATAATGTTGAAGGATAAGTTATGGCAGGAAAAGAAGGAATATAAATGTATAAATTCAAAGAGTATGTGAAAAGTAGGTTATAGTAAGCGTTTATACACTTGGAGAAATGAGAAGTGTAGAGGAGAGAGAGAGATTTTGGAAATGTTGAGTACGTGGGAGTTTTGAACCCAGTGAGAGTGCTTGTGGTTGGGGATCTCAGTGTTAAAGTGGATAAAAATGTTGTGGAGGGAGTAGCTGGTAAATTTGGGGTGCCAGGGGTAAATGAAAATGGGAAGTCTTTAATTGAGCTGTGTGTAGAAAGAGGTTTGGTAATAAGTAATACATATTTATGAAAAAGATGATAAGTATACAGTAGGGCCCCGCTTTTTCAGCATTTCGCCTTACGGCGTTCCTCTAATACAGTACTCTCAAATTATGACCAAAACTTTCTATATGGCAAGTGGTCTTTCGAATACGGCACGTGCCACCCGGTTTGTTTACATTCTCCATAAGCACATCTCTCTATACTGTAATAAATAATAATCACTCTTGGGCACATTAACCCTTAACCCTTTCAGGGTCCGTCCCGTAGATCTACGGCTTTACGTTCAGGGTCCAAACCGTAGATCTACGCCATGAGCTCAGCTCACTCTGATAAACTGTGAGTGGTACATTTGGGCCTAGATATGAGAGAATACATCTATGTGGTATGTGTGCACCACATAAAACAGATCCTGCAGCACACTGTGTATAATGAGAGAAAAAAAATAAAATTTCATATTTTTCGATTAAAACAGCAACTTTGCAGTTTTTTTTTCGTATGTTTTTTATATTGTATTTGCGTTTTTTGGGTCTCATTTGATAGAATGGAAGACATATTACAGAAATAGAGATGATTTGTTTGGGTTTTTTTAGCACTGGAAATGGCTTGAAACTGAGCTCAAAGTAGCAGAAATGTTAAATTTTTGCCGATATTCAAGAGTAAACAAACGCCCTCACACGTCTAATACACCGTCAGCTGGTGGGTCTAATATACATTCACAAATATGGTGATGATATTATACAATTATTACAGTATTGCATAACAGTAAATCTTCTTTTTTTTGGGTGTGAATAAAAATTCATTATGTGAAAAAAAAATCAAAATGGAATTTATTTGTAAAGCCCAAAACATAACTAATGAACAGAGGAAATGTTAGTTTAGTGCCAGGAATGCCTACATTGTTCATTCTGGACCCTATTTTGAAATTGGAATACAGTGGACCCCGCAAAACGGACGCCTTGCATAGCGGACAATCCGCATAGCGGACGCTTTGTTCGCTAAAATTTTGCCCCGCATAGCCCCAAAAAACCCCTCAGCGGCCTTCGTCCGAGACGCGTCCAATGTGCGGCCTGAGCCAGCCTCATATGTTCCGCCGGTGGCATGTTTACCAGCCAGCCTCCGCGTAACATTCAAGCATACAATCGGAATATTTCGTTTATTACAGTGTTTTCGGTGCTGTTTCTGGAAAATAAGTGACCATGGGCCCCAAGAAAGCTTCTAGTTCCAACCCTACAGCAATAAGGGTTAGAATTCCTATAGAAATGAAGAAAGAGATCATTGATAAGTATGAAAGTGGAGTGCGTATCACCGACCTGGTCAGGTTGTACAAGAAACCCAAATCAACCATCTCTTCTATTGTGGGCAAGAAAACGGCAATCAAGGAAGCTGTTCTTGCCAAAGGTTTAACTGTGTTTTCGAAACAAAGATCGCAAGTGAGGGAAGTTTGTTGAGAGACTCTTTTTGGGTGTGGATAAATGAAAAACAGCTAGCAGGAGATAGCGTCTCTCAAGCGATCATATGTGAAAAGGCTAGGAAGTTTGCATGAGGATTTAATTAAAAAAAGGCCTGCAACAAGTGATGATGTGAGTGAATTTAAGGCCAGCAAAGGTTGGTTTGAGAGATTTAAAAAGCGTAGTGGCATACATAGTGTGATACGGCTTTGGTGAGGCTGCCAGTTCGGACCACAAAGCGGCTGAAAAATATGTGAAAGGAATTAAAGGGAGTACATAGAAACTGAAGGACTGAAACCTGAACAAGTGTTTAATTGTGATGAAACAGGCCTGTTCTGGAAGAAAATGCCAAGCAGGACCTACATTACTCAGGAGGAAAAGGCACTCCCAGGACATAACTATGAAAGACAGGCTTACTTTGTTGATGTGTGCCAATGCTAGTGGTGATTGCAAAGTTAAGCCTTTATTAGTGTATCCTCTGAAACTCCCGAGCGTTCAGCAAAAGAATGTCCTCAAGGATAATTTGTGTGTGCTGTGGAGGCAAACAGTAAGGCAGGGGTCACTGGGGAATTTTTCTATAACTGGTTACACCATGCATTTGCCCCCAATGTGAAAGATTACCTAACTGAAAAAAAATTAGAACTTAAGTGCCTCCTGGTGTTAGACAATGCCCCTGGTCATCCTACAGACGGGGCAGAGCGACTTTATGGGGACATGAGTTTCTTTAAAGGGTGAAGTTTTTGCCTCCTAATACCACTCCTCTCCTGCAGCCCATGGACCAGCAGGTAAATTTCCAACTTCAAGAAACTGTACAAAAAAAGCTCTGTTTCAAAAGTGCTTTGAAGTACCACAGCACTCGATTGACTTTTAAAAGATTTTGGAAGGGATCACTTTAATATCCTCAATTGTGTAAAACTTATAGGGAAGGCTTGGGAGGGAGTGACTAAGAGAACCTTGAACCCCTGCTTGGAAGAAACTGTGGCCAGAATGTGTAGACAAAAAAGGGGTTTTGAAGGGTTTGAGGCTAACCCTGAGAGAGTATACCATTGAGGAATCAATTGTGGCATTGGGGAAGTCCTTGGGGTTGGAGGTTAGTGGGGATGATGTGGAAGAGTTGGTGGGGGGAGACAATGAAGAACTAACCACTGATGACTGATAGATCAACTTCAAGAGCAAGAGGCCAGACCTGGGGAAACTGGTTCAAAAAGGAGGGAAGAGAGAAATTGAAGGGAAATTGCCTACTTCAAAGATTAAGGAAATGTGTGCAAAATGGCTTTAAGTGCAAACCTTTTTGATGAAAATCACCCTCACACAGCTATTGAAGCCGTGCTGGTGACTGTTTACAATGACAATGTTGTGAACCACTTTAGACAAAAACATAAAGGAACGAGAGGTACAGG